ATAATTCTGTATGTATGATATTTTGACCCACCGGAGAACTATACATTGACTTAAGATGCTAAGATCAAAGGCGGGCATCATGTCTAAGTTTCAGTAAACTATCCTTACAACTCGTTAACTTGGAAAATCAACTGATTTCGTTGTTGATGAGCAAATAAGGGGTCTCCTCAACTGCTGGTTGTCACCCGTCGACTATCAGCCAACAGGCAAGGAAACACAAGCAACTAATGACGTTGAGGACCGCCAGTGTTGAAAAAACAACAACAGAAACTCCTCGGGGTACAAACTTTTGTCTCTGACTTAGCGAAAATATTTCGTCGTCGTCGTCATCATCATCACCCATCGCCATATAGCTGGAATATTGCTGAGTGCGGCGTACAACTAAACTCACTCACTCAATCATCATCATCATCACCACCATCATCATCATCTCAATATTTCGTCGTCATTATCATCATATATCATCACCGTCATCACCATCCCCACCATCATCATCATCATCGTCATCATCACCACCACCACCATCATCATCTTAATATTTCGTCGTCGTTATCATCACCATCATAATCTATCATCAACAACATCATAAGCATCATTTATCATCAACATCATCATCATCATCATTCTCACTTGGGCTGTGCGTAAGCTCGTCTGGAAGAAGATTGTGTGAGGGGCTCAAGGTATCACAATGCCAAACACAGATTCAAGCACACATTTACCCTCATGTGCACGAGTGAGTGAGTGAGGTTAGTAATATTCCAGCAATATCACGGCGGGGGACACTAGAAATGAGCTTCACACATTGTACCCACGTAGGGAATCGAACCCGGGTCTTCGGTGTGACGAGCGAATGCTATGGTTCGATATCTCACGTGCGTCGAGTATGTAAAGCTTATTTCTAGTGTCCCCGATGCCATATTGCTGGAATATTGATATAAGCAGTCTAAATCACAAACACTAACTTATTTAATGCATATTAAACTTAAATGATTAAAGGTTTCAACATATAAGTAACATATGAAAGTAAACTGTTTGCGCCATAATGAGATACATTACCTTAGATAACATAAGGAAATTATGAAAGATATCGACCATTAACTATTATTTATTACACCTCCAGCCACTAGGTTGCTGTATTTCTCCATACATGTTTTATCGTTTAATTTCGTGTACCTACAGACAGAATTTACAGAACTGAAAAAAAGCGACAAAAACAAATATGTCTTCAAATTTTAGGTGACGATAACAAAATTTAAACATTGCTATTCTGTAATCATCATCAGATAAATAGTGTATCTCTTTTCAAAATTAGATTGCCTGACAGTGTTTCGATTTGTTTTCATTCGTGACAGCTCCCTAAGAAGACAGTAGCAATGATCGCCATGGATTATTCATGAGCCAAGCTACACAGATTAAAGGGTTGAGAACTACGACCCCGCCACACCATCACGTAAATAGCACGATCCCTTTGATAACACATCTTCACCCAGTTCCACTCCCATAAAAATCCCACAATTAGCATTGTATTAACTGCCTTGAGAAAAATACTCACTGGGCTCTTGTCTAGTTAAACAATAAAAGGCGCAAAGTTTGCAGCGCGAGCCAACAGGCGAACCTGAATTACTAAATTAGTAATCACTGCTAATTACAGCGCTTGTCCAATTTCTTCGGGTTGCTTGGCGTTGTTACGGAAGCAAATAATTTTTTGCCTCGGTTTCGGCTTTCAGTTTGAAAACTACATCCAACGACTCTCCTCGCGTTCAGTGCTCAGTAAGACCTTGATTGTGATTGTGTCTGTTTGGGAGGGTCCTTGTTTGGATTTTGTCTGCATAATAGAGTGTTTGAAATTAATTTGCAAGTTTTGTCTGTATGCTGTTATCATGTATTCCGGTTCAATCTTAGGTGAGTAGATGCCAGTCTGTTATTTGGACCCCACTTCAGGTTCATATATTGCACAGCCGTATATTTGTGTGAATGTCGTGTAAAAGTGATGTGTTCGATTGCAGAGGATAAGTCATTTTTAATTGCTTTGTTCCTCGTGCTCCTCTCGTCCATAAACGTCAAGAAAAATTAAAACACTGTCCAGAAAGGATACAATTCGTTTTTTTCTAGTGTATGCAACATTTTCGGGCAAGTCATGCTTTTTGTAATTTCGCAGAGAACCTGGCGTCTGCCATGTGAGCGGATGGTGGGCGGTTCGATCCCCTGGACGCTTCGTGTCAAAAGACGTTCAGAGACACTTATTGTTACCTTGACTGGCACCCGTGAAGATCCGAGTTAGAATATTGATCTTCAGCAACCCATGCTTGTCGCATGAGACGACTAACGGAATCGGGTGGTCTGGCTCGCTGGCTTGGTTGACACATGTCATCGGTTCCCAATCGCGCAGATCGACGCTCATGCTGTTGATCACTGGATTGTCTGGTCCAGATTCGATTATTTACAGACCGCCGCCATATAGCTGAAATATTTCTGTGCGGCGTAAAACTAAACTCACTCACTCCCTCACCTTGGCTGGCACTCCGTATTTAGGGGCTAAAGGTGCTGGTCGGCTCAGGTCAGAATATTGCGTTGGGTACCGTAGGCGGATCCAGATGGGGTGCAGCCCTCTCCCTCCCTCTCTCTCTCTCGTGAAAATGGGTGAAAATGAACTGTGCAACCCCCATTCTCAAAAAGCTGTATCCGCCCCTCGGTATCCATGTCATACTGCGGGGTGGAGGTGATATATGAGTGGTCTAAGTACTATAGCACTGTAAAACCAACATTACACTTGCCCTGTGCTCACAATATTGCACGCACGCATACAAATAGCAGGAAAATTCAAGCGGAATATAATTAGAAGATAAAGCTACTCTGTTTTCAGTTTTGCGGTCCTTTATCGTTGATTTAAGACCGCTAAATGTAATTTAAAAACCGAACGCGTTTCTTCAAACCATTCGCTTTTTACTTCAAAAACACCGAAGATGCTGCCGAGATAGAAATTGCCGATGTCCGACATGTTTCTTTACAAACAATAGGGTCAACGAGTACGTTGTATTCATACACGATGAATCGGTCACTTTAATTAGCGGTCTTTAAACTGCCATTTAAGTACGGTTTTGATGAGCTCTCAGCCAATCAGAATCGAGTATCACACAATGTCGTACTAGAATGAAACCTATATAGATCTGTTAACTACTAAAGATTTAGTCCCGTCACTAACAATAATAAATCATGAAAAACAAGAATATTTTTGTAACGAACCTTACCTTGACCAAGAGTGTTTAAATTATATTTCTGCGTGAATTATATCTCATCAGAAGTTTAGACTCACTCGTGTAAACATAGCCACTTACTTCAGGCAACTGTTCTAAACTAAATTTTGCAAAATATGCCATACTGTTTAAAGGTACTGTTTACACATGAAATGATGTATTGTAAAACAAATTCGTAACGTTGAAAAGATTATTGTCATGAGTTCAGTAAATGATGAAAATCAGTGAAAACTGGCGAATTCTTAACAAAACTTTACACCACAACGCAGCTGTTCCCATGCACGATATTTGCACATCAATCTTCGATGTAACCATCTATATATACATAACATATAGTGAGTGTTGTAAAAGAGTCTAAACTTTTGAAGAGAAGTATATTTCCATGCGTATCTATGTGGTTTCCGCTTCCCCTGTCATCTCCGGATAGTCTGACTCGGAATATGTTCACTTATGCTATGTATGTCTTTGACGATAAAATGTGGATTCTATGTTTAAAATGGGTCCTGTGTGTTGTCTCTGTGTTGAGCACGGCGTGTCACCCATTACAGATAGATTCACATCGAGGAACTAGTTCATAGAAAGAGACAAATGCAATACTGCACCCAAATGTCATTATTATTTTGTTATTATTATTATTATAGGATATTTATATAGCGCACATATCCACGCACTAGTGCATGCTCAAGGCGCTGGTATTTTTTCCCTCGATCATTGGATGTCAATATCAACTGCACATCGTATTAGCAATCTCAACTCCCTGGAGAGTATACAATGCGTCATGCGTTTTAGCGTACTGACGGGCCAGTGATATGTTTGCAATATTGATGAAGAAGGATCACAGTTGAGAGTAAACGGGTTCAGCTCTCCTGTATCAGGATGCGTGTCCACATACGAGAACGGAAAGACAATTTAATGAGTTGGTTCCAACGCCACATGTGAATGCTATTCTAGTTATACCATGGCGTGTGAGCTCACGTGACAGGAAAGCCCGAAGTGATACATGTCTCACACGTGATGACAACAAGCGCAGGTCCGGTACTGACAAACATTCGGGATTCGAACCCTAATTAACGGAGGGAACTGTTCCGTGAACCTGCATTAACAAGGAAAAATTTCATTTCAATTTCATTATCCTCTTATCGAAAGGCGAATGTAAGTGGATGTCAGTTTGGATGGAAGTGTATGCTTCCAGTCAGAACAAAATAATACAAACTTTATTGATTAAATACGCCGCATTAGAATCGTAGGGGGACAATGTTAGAAGCACAATCAACTTTATGAACACATCTCGTCTGTACAATGAATGTTTGGAAACAAAATACAAAATATATCTTGATTTTGACATATTATAACATTGTTGTATGGAGGTAAAAAAAAACATTGAAAAAGCGAATTTGTTTTAAAGGTGGCAGGAGTTGTTCCCCTTTTTCTTCAATGACATAAAGAAAGTAAAGTGGGTAGTTTTTGTACCAGGGAGGACCAAAAATAGTTAAAGGTTGTTTGCAAAAAGAATTTCTACGAAGATCAAAGTTGATCTGTATTTTTCTCTCAAGTGGAATAACTTCCACAGTATCGAGAGAGGAAAAACTACTGCGCTTCACGTTTCATGATGAGAACTGAAGCACAACTTTATTTCCATCTCCCGTCTTTAAACAAACCTTACGAGGGCCTCTTTGGGGAGGACAGGCGACAGTGCTCTCCCTTGTACCACTCTTCATCCACTGAGTTCACAGTTTATCAGTAACTATGGCGTCCTTTCCGGTTTGATGGTGGCTTTTTTCTTTACAAAATTTAAAATGAGGACATTAAGAATAGACCATCTGAAATGAATTCAGAATTCGTTTGAAGCGAACAGTATGTTCAGAAGAATTCTAATGGCAACAATAACAAACTCTAAAGGTAAAGTTCTTCTTTAAACTTTACCCAGTCAAGGGCAGTGTTCGTTTTATAGTTATACATCTTGTCTCGTCAGCTGATTGTACTGATAGCTGCCGGGTTATTCAGCGTAAAATAGGATTCGATAACAATTTACTGTAATAGCTTCATCAGATACGCTCTTTGTAAAGGAGAGTGTCGATGTGTAAAACCGCCGCGTATGTGATCGATACTAGTCTAGAATTTGACCAAGTCACAAATCGATAGACGACGAGGCCTATATCGAGAGTCAAGATAAATGTTCAATCGATAAACAATTACTGCTGCTGTAGTCGTATCTTATGTCCGAAGTTAACGTGAGTAAAGTAGCCGCTGGTTCGTGAAAGTTTTAAAGGGGCAGAAGAATGTAGAACTGGTCAGTTATACATCTCCAAGAAAACCAGCAATTGCCGTCCATAGTCTATGCCCTCGATGACATGGTTATTTTGTTAAGATATTTTCTGAAGGTAATTTTGAGTCACAACTCCCCTTGCCAATTACATAAAATATAAATCAAATGATAAAATAAAAAAGTAATGATAAATTTACTAGTGTCGCTGCTTTCTGCTGCTGCTACTACTACTACTACTACTACTACTACTACTACTACTGTATTGTATATTGTAAATCTTATTTTAGAAACCACTTTTGCTTTCATTTAGTAATAACATTACTGATGCTAGTAATTTAATGCAGCGCTTGGGTTTAAACCTTACAGTGCAAAGCACCATTGAATCTTGCATGAACTAAAGGTGTGCAGTCACTCTCGTGATCAGAAAATATTTTATGCATGATGCACAATGCATGATCAACCAGAACTGTTGACATACAGGCCCTTTAGATTTGATAGATAAAGATATCGCGAGATAAGGGGCTTCGACTGAGGACCACTATTTTTCTGTTTGGTGGTGTTAGTTGGTGCCAGGAGGGCTGCTTGATGTTCCTTATGCTAGTCACACAATGTTCTGGTCAAAGGCTTCATTTTCACAGTCTATTTGATCGAACAGTAGCATCTTTTTGTGAAATCCTCTAATGTATATATAATTAAAACATTTCTATTTGAAACATTTATTTCCTTGTCAAGATTTCCGTCAAATCATGATTATTTTTATGAAAACAGACTTTTCAGATAAATTATCATTATCTGGTTCTCAAATGCTTGTTTTCCAGTTCACAGTTATACAAATGACTGTCGTTGACAGATAAAGTGATTTCAGTGATCATGTGTAGCACTCATACTTGCATTATTACTTTTATTCTGGGTAATACTTTTTAGAGTTGATATGAATATGAAATTGTTATTGCTTCAGATTTAGTCTCAGTCAGCAGTTGCAATTGAGGCTTCTAAATTCTCAATATCAGTGAGCAAGGCATTCAGACCAGCATATCTGATGTCTTATTTTGAAAATGAATTTTACTGCCCAGTACTAAATGTAAATAATAAAGGATGCACCATTATATTGTTATTACAAAGCACCATGGTTAGCCAAAAAAGATGTGTGGTCTGTTTGTTTTTAGGTTAAAATAAAAATGTTTCCAGTTGGTGTAAAAGAATATAGATGAATCAGTTTAGAAAATCGATATCAGATTGGCTGAAGAACCTTCAAAATTCTTTAATAGCTAACCAAGCATTGGATGATCACTGTCAGTGACTTGGCTGGTTGCATTTCATTGTGCCAAAATGGCTTCAATCAATGCTCATGCCTTCAGTCACCGATGTGATTAGTCTAGACTGGATAATTAACAAGCCACTTTGATATAGCTGGAATGTGTCAAACAACATTTGTTCAAGTACATTAACCATGCAGTTAATTTTGAGATAACATAGTGAGACTGTAAATCATTGACAGTCTAATCACTTACAGGCACATGCAGTAGCTAAAAAACACTGCATGTGGTAGGAGTGACATTTCAAATTGACCAATTCTTAATCAGCATCACGATATTGTTGATGAGACAAAATCAGGGAAGTAATGACATCACACACTGATAAATCGTCCATAAATCCCAGCTGTTTAAGAAAAACGAAGCAAGAACCCCATTGGGAATAACGAAATGCGAACAGAAATTCAGACCTTTCACTGAGGTTAATTTCAAGACTTCACTGTCATGGTGGTTGTGTTTCAATAATTCATTGAATTAATTCTGATTCTAGCATCAATCAACGCTCATCCGATTCAGTGGTTGAAGAAGTGAGTAATTCTTCACGAAGACTCATGCCAATTAATTAAGAATCAATTGTCTTGTCCGATGAAAGTATCAGATAAACAATCAACGTGTTTAGATGAATTATTAATGTCGCCTTCGTCATGGTTTATTTAAGATACACTAGATATCCAGGGCGTAGGCCTGCTTTTGTCATGTATGCTGTTGTAAGTTTCCTCATTGAGATCCAACTTCGATATGATGGCATCCTGTTCTTGGTGCTCAGGTCAATCTGGTAGGTGAAACATATTGAGATTTTAACATGATGAGTGTCTCTGTCATGTTTTTATACCTGTGCTGTATTTATGAGGGTATGTTCTGGAGGTTTTTGTACTGAAGTCTTTGATGGACATTTAGTTGTTAGCTGAATGTGGAATGTAATTGCTGGAAGATATATTTGTCTTTTTTAGCCTTTTTTGGCAATTTTATCACCTGAGGATTTAAACAAATGATTTTCATTTTCCTGGTCTAAAAAACGTTGATAAATGTGTTTGATACATCAGCAGGTATGCAAGTCTGATGTGTATTTTCTATTTCTGGAGCAGAACTCTCAAACGGTTAAATATTTCTATGTGAAACTGTGCTATACAAATTTGGGGTTTTTAACAATTGCGAAAGTCATGGTAGTTGTTGCAGAGCACGGATCCTCTAATTCAAATAAGATACATCACCTTGAATACAGTTATTTACACATGATGAAACACAGATACATGCAGTTAAGATGCCCATTCATTCTTGCACTGGTTCAGGGATCATTTTCAGATTCAAGCTCTAAGTCCTAGTAGTACTACTCTTTTAATAATAGTTTTATTCATGGCCATAAGTAGTATATTCATCATGTATATAATGTATGTTTTAAGTTTTACTGATCTTATTTTGAAATTCACCAGTGAATATCCATTTTAGAATTGATCTTCAGCATACTTGCTGTAAGAGGCAACTGATCTGCCTATCCTTGTCGAAAGTTGAGTGGTCAGACTTTCTGACTTGGTTGAAGCATGTCATTTTGTCCCATTTGTGAAGGTTGATGCACATGATGTCAATCACTGGATTGTTTGGTCCAGACTCAATCTCAATCTCAATTTACACACCACCATTATATACAGTGAAACCTGTCTAAACCGGCACCCCACTGGACCGAAATAAAATGCCGGTTTAGACAGGGTGCCGGATTAGACAGTGACGATCATATTCCAACATGGCTGCCATTTACACTCATCAATCTCTTTATCTCTATAATGCCTTTGACCTTTTGTAACTGTGCAACAAATTAAAACAATGTTGATACAGATAGTTATTCTTTATTCAGCACTAAACATTGTTCAAAACATCATGCTTTTTCAACATGTCCGAAACCCATCATGACACAAAGTGACTGACGAGTCAATAAATGTTTATAAAGCATAACCACGGTAATCCTACTGATTGGACTGCTCATATGGTTTGGTCTACTAATGCCTACAGGGAAAAATAGCTACAGGGAATAATAGCTTCAAAGTTTGTTGTGACAGCGATATGCTTACCTGCACGCAGGTGGACTGTACCGGTTAGTGTGCACTAATGCCTACAATGGGATTAGGGGAGTAGAGGGCAAAGAGCAATTAGCAGAGGCTATGCTCCATCTCACACGGTTGAAGGATAGAAAAACATATTGAGGGATAAAACAAAGTGCGAAGGAAATATTTCATTTATTGAGAGAGATGTTTCTTACCCATGCCGGTTTAGAGTGTTTGATTCACTGCACAATCACTACTTCCTGATTATCTAATGTGTCAAGAGGATTAATTAGTACAGGGCTTTAGATAGTTTTTCAACATCAAGAGTACATACTCTTTAGTTTTTTCAATATAGGAGCACTGGAAAACCTTAAGAGTACATTTAGAGTACAGAATGGAATTTAATGGGGTATCCGTAATCTTGTGTTTCGTTTCATATATGCACCACAACATTGCTACTCTTGTGTAAACAGGTCAATAAACAATAAAATAATACTTTTTCAGATAAATATGTCTGTAAATGATTCTAAGACAGTACACCATTGATGTGGTGCGTATCTGCTACGTTTTCTAAATTATTTCCTTCCCTATCGTGCATATCGTTTAGCCGTACATACGCCGATACGGCCCTTATCTGGAGCCCTGTTAGTGTATTGGATTATGGGTCCTGCTCATACCAATGCCGGTTTAGACAGTGTTAATTGCAGTTAAAATTACTTGTTGGGACCGGAAAATCGTGCCGGAATACGGTATAGATAGGTGCCAATTAGACAATGTTTTAATGATCATAATATCGTTGTAAAATGGCCAGACCAAACTTTAATGCTGGTCTTGACAGTGTGCCGGATTAGACAGGTGCTGGTGTTGACAGGTTTCACTGTAGCTGGAATTTGCTGAGAGTGGTGTTAAACAGACACACAATAGTTTGAAATTAAGAAAAGCATCCTGATATTAGTTCCAACATGAAGTGTTTCATATAAATCTCATAAAATGTTCTGTTGAATAGAATATTGATTTCCTGGGTTCCAGGCAAGACTGTGATAGGTGACAAGACCAATGCCACAACTTCCACCATGGGGAAGAAGAAAGCCCAGATCCGTGCCTTCAACTCCAAGAGCAGCCCAATATACAAGACGCAGTCGGACACCTCTCTTGTCAGTGGCATGAGAAACCTTAGTCTCAGGGAAAAGAATGACTCCCCATCAAAGCCACCACCCCCAAGGTAATGGCACCCATTCACTACTTTAGTGCTAACTGGAAAAAATAGACTGGGGTTCAAGCTGCACTAGATATTGTTAGAGATTCTGTGGTGAATCATCTTAAGGTGACTCTCCTTTAAACCTCTTTCAGGTTCTTTAATATCTGACCAACACTTTAAAATTTGCCATTCCCAAAATTATGACAGTAGCAGAGGCATTTTAGCTAAGTTTTTATCCTAGACCCTGCATTGTGATGTTGACCTGTGAATTGTGACATGGAACATTGACCTTTACCTCAGTCCTGTGATTTGGAATTTTGTCCTTGATCTGTGAATTGGGACTTTGTCCTTGACCTTTGACCTGGTGTTTTGTCCTTGATCTATGACTTCGGACATTGTCCTTGAACTTTGACCTGGACATGTAATGTGAATGTTGTCTGTGGATGGGAATGTGTCCTTCACTTGGGACCTGGGAATTTGTCTCTCAAATGTGACTGTTGCCTTGATAACAAAATAATTTTACAAAACTATGTATAATGTTTCTCAGTTGTTGATACATGTGTGTATTCCAGACGTGGATTCTGCAGTGGCAAAACAACAATACGGAACCTGTCTGATGTGGCTGACGTGATACGAAACCAACAGGTCAGAAATGTGGTGATCGTGGCCGGAGCTGGCATCAGTACACCAAGTGGGATACCAGACTTTAGGTAAGGGACTCTTCACTACACCCAGTCTCATTAAGATGGTGGTTTACTCTGATACGTTACCTTCCAGTATCTGAACATCTGAGGACACCTCCATACGAGGTTGTGACAAATTAATTTTCTGATCGCCTAGTCAGCATTAGGATCCATAATATTTGTATGAAGCGTTTAAAACCAGCACATGTGTACTACTGAGGAAGTACTAAGGAATCCTTAAATTGTTATTTAGTAATATATGGATATTTAGTAAATCCTCGGTTTCTATAAACTGAAATATCCCAATTGTGGTGGTTAGAAAATGAATTGACTTATTTTAAGAGCTGGTGGCAGATTACCGAGGTTTATAGTCATGCTAGTATTAATGTGTTTGTAGTGAATGACTCAACCTGTCTGATTTACTTCATAATTGTACAGAGTCATAAGTAATTACTTTCACCATCAACCATTTGTGTGCCAGCGTGAGGCCATCAGATTATGCTATGATCATCATGTCAAACCGTTGTTTCAGAACCCCAGGAACTGGTCTCTATGACAACCTACAGCAATACAAGATCCCTTACCCCGAAGCCATATTCGACATTGACTACTTCCACCATAACCCACGACCGTTCTTCACACTTGCCAAGGAGCTGTACCCCTCGCGGAAGTACCGCCCCAACTACATCCACTACTTTGCCCGACTCCTGCATGACAAGGGGATGCTACTCCGCATGTACACACAGAACATTGATGGCTTGGAGCGATGTGAGTTTTCTCCAATAATCTGTGGGAGTTTGTGGACATGAATGTAGGCTGGTTTGCTGGCAACTGAGGCAATATATACACTTTGTTCCTTCATGAATTCATGCAGCTGTTCTGCTGTTTAGTCACTATATTTTACCAACATTACAGCCAAGGTCCTGGGCAAGTTCAGACTACTTAGGGCTTAGGATCCCATTCCACAAGGAGATCCTAGTGCTATAACTATTGTAAGTTTCTGTTCAAATATGGAAATCAAGGTTACCTTATGTTTTATGGGGGCGGTGGGGTAGCCTAATGGTTAAAGCGTTGGCTAACCCACCGAAGACCTAATGGATCGAATCCCCACATGGGTACAATGTGTGAAGCCCATTTCTGGTGTCCCCCGCCGTGATGTTGCTGGAATATTGCTAAAAGCGGCGTAAAAACCAAACTCAGTCAGTCAGTCAGTTATCCTTTATGACGGGTTTATGGAATTCAGCCAAGATTAGGTCAGTTTCAAATATCAGTTTCTCAGATTGCATGTTCAACATGTGTACTAGCTTCCTTCGTACCAAGCCGTGAATAGTTGGAAGATTGCTGATGTGGCGTATAATAATATTCATTCATTCATTCCAAGCATCAGTAGGGAAAGGTCATGGCTGGAGTAGGGTACCTTGAGTTATAGACAGATCAGGAGCCAACCTATGGCCCCCTCACCCTTGTTATAAGAAAGTCTCACTCTCACTTTTGTTTCGGTTGGCAGCTATGGATCAGTCTGGGACCAGACTTTAGCTAAAAGCAATCTTTCACCAGATGATTCTTGTTTAATGTTTCAGTGGCTGGTATTCCACCAACCAAACTGGTGGAAGCTCACGGAACATTTGCCACTGCAACGTGCGTCATCTGCAGCCAGAAATACAAGGGTGATGACATCAAGGTAGGACTAATTGATGCTGGTGTTTGACTTAAATCACTTTGATAAACCAGATGAGAGTCTGGTGCTGAAAAAACCAGAAACATGATAAGCAAGGATTCTAAACCATGATCATAGGGTTCTGGGATGCAAAAGGGACACAACTCTGTACCAATGTACCATTGTATGGCACGGCCAGTCTTACAAACTGGCCAATATAAAATACTGTTAACCATTATCTCTAGAACCATGTCAGTTTCAATGACGTGACAACTGTTGACACGTTTGTTAAACTGTACCTTGTATAGTTATTTTGAATCACATGTCAGAATTGCTATATGTGGGTTCACCATTGGTTCAGAAATCACTGTGCATGGAGATCCTATGATGTTGGGTCTGATTTTAGCTGACGTGATAGTTGGTTTGTCTCCACCTCACCTCTTGTGGGATTCTCCACATTTCACCGAAGTAGATGACTTCAGTGGCCTGCACCTGTTCAACAAGAAATACCATTCAAACCAAGGTCAAGCCCAGTTCACTCACTAGCTCATTCACATTTCTGTTTTCCCAGGACAAAATATTTGATGACAAGATTCCAAGATGTAAACGAACTGCTTGCCCGGTAAGTATCATAGAAGAGAAACATCTGCTTGTTTTTTAAAATACATTAGACCTATTAATCTTGACCATATCATTCCTCAGGTGTCAGGTGTTGGGATTATCCTCTTTAGTCATGTGGACAGTGCGTCCAACCTCACCTTAGATGGTCCATGGTTCAAATCCCATCAGTTGACTTGGGATAATTTGGGGGCTGAGAATGTTCATATCTAAGTTGAGAAAATAAGTCTCAATAGTACCCAACTCTGTGAACAAAATGTCCTTTCTATTTATGGGGAATGTTTGTAGCATGTTTCAAATCCCGTCACAGGAACCGAAAATTATTCAGATTGACAGTTCCGAGTAATGTCCATAAGGTTTTACTGTATGTCAATTTAAAACAATGTTAAGAACAAATGAAGAAATATTCTATTCGGAATAAGTATATCTTTGGAATTGTGTCTGGATGAACATCATAGTGTAAGGACATGTGCACGTCTGGACTGAATCAGGGTAGGAAGATATTTTGAGATTTGACACCCTTTTTTCTTTGTTTTAGGGAATTGTGAAGCCAGATATCGTCTTTTTTGGAGAGGAACTGCCAAAACGCTTCTACTACTACCTCAAGGACATGCTGCAGACTGACATGGTACTTGTGATGGGGACGTCGCTGGAGGTAACTGACAGCATTATATGTTTTAATGTGACAGGATGTTTATGTTTTAATGTGACAGGCCAAATGAAAAAGAAAGGATTTTATTATACAAGGTGCAGCTGCCTCATTTACGTTTTACTACATGGGCATATATAGCAAAATCACACTGAGCTCTCACAATATGACAGACAACCCCCTACCATAGCTGGAATATATACTGAGTCAAAAAAGAAACTTCACAAAATGTAATTTGAAAAATAATGAATAATTTTTTTCTGATGATACAGCTATGTATCCGAAATGGGATCCCTATCTTTCGACTCTAGAAAAACGTTAGCAAAACCCACTCAAACCCATCCATTCGTCGTGCAAATGACGTTAGTGCCAAATCAGGTTTTGCACGTGCAGTCGATGACGTGATCTTCGCATCGAAGTTTTTTTTCATATGCACGTGTTTGCATTGGCCTCAAGAATTGAAAAAACACTTTTAAACCACAGTTCTAACGGTACTTGAAATGCCACGATTGTCAAATGTGCAACGTGAACGTGCCGTTGGCATGTTGCAAGGGAAGATCAGTTATTGACGTTGCAAGAGCAATGGGATGCAGCTGTCGTACTGTGTATGACTTGTGAGGTCGTCTACAACAAACTGGCACCACTTCAGATCGCCAAGGTCAGGGTCAGATCCACGGTGGTGACGCCACAGGCAGAAGACCGTCAATCGCCCCACGCCACCTACGTGACAGATTTCTGCCGGCTACACGAACCAGGGCTGAGATGTTTAGAGGTCGACTGTCCTCACAGACCATTCGGAAATCGGGTTATGGCTGCCAATCTCCATTCTCGACGCCCATATCGTGGGCCAATATTGACGCCGTTTCATCAATGTCAATCGCTCTGCTGTGGGCCCAACGTCACCTCCGATGGACCCAGAGAGACTGGAATCGAGTCGTCTTTAGCGATGAATACAGGTTTACCCTCAGATTCGCGGACGGCAGGCATAGAGTCTGGAGACGACGTCGTACAGGAAGTTGACAGATTCGGGGGCGGAAGTTGCATGGTGTGGGGTGTTTTCTGTGGGAACAACCGTTCCCGACTTCTTGTCATCCGTGGAAACCTCACAGCTGCTGCTTACCGCGACCAGGTGCTCACCCCTGAACTCGTTCCTTTCATGGCGGCTTATGGCCCAGGTCTACAGTTCCAGCATGATAATGCTCGGCCGCATACCGCGATGTTGACACGAAATTTCCGTCAAAACGCTGGAATCAACGTCATGGACTGGCCATCGAGGTCCCCTGACCTTAATCCAATAGAGCACGTTTTGGATGCACTTGGGAGAAGGCTTCATGGTCTTAGGAACCAACCTCAGAATTTGCAGGGACTTGTCGCTGCCTTGCAAGAGCAATGGCGCAGAATCCCCAACCACGTGTTCACAAGCATCAGGCAGTCGATGAGGAGACGGTGTTTGGCAGTGGTGAATGTGCAGGGCGGCCTTCCACGATATTGAACTGAGAAATTTCGCATTTTTATTCTTGTGACTTGACATTCTGTATACCCATGTTTTGAAACGGCGGTGTAGCCTAATGGAACTGATTATGGCACTGTCAGTGTATCGAGTACATCACACAGATCTCAGCAATGAAATAATAACAATTTAACCATCTTACCATCTCTTGTTCTTTTATAGTGCCCTGAAGAAAGAATGTGAAGTTTCTTTTTTGACAGTATACATGAGCACTGTTATGTTATCACCACAACTGCTGTTGTGCTGTACTGGACATGTCAACCACATGGGTGACAAGATTGCTGAAACCAAAGATGCAGTCTTGTCATTTGGAATGTGGTAACTGCTTCAAATCTAATCAAACAGTACTTCATAACTGTGTGTGCAGTAAACCTGATAAAATAAGTGAATGAGTAAGGTTTGTATAAGCATTCCAGTTGCATGTTGATCAGCTTTCCAACACACAATCATAGGTTCCTGGTGTGCCCAAGGGACACAACTGTGGTTTTGTGATACTGGCACACCAGTGTCTTGACCCTCATGACATGTGCACATATCTTCTTCATTGTTCCTTACTTCGTGTTTCAGGTTCAACCATTTGCTGGTATCATAGACAATGTCAGATGGAATATACCACGCATCCTGTTTAACAGGAATGCAGTTGGACCGTTCCGTCACAACAAACGTGGTAAAGATATTGTGGCTGAAGGTAGGTAAATAACCAAGTCTTGTACAGGATACACTTTTTCCAGCCTGTTGACCTGACTGTTGTTACAGTATATGTGACCAGACTGTTGTTGCAGTATATGTGACCTGACTGTTGTTTACAGTGTATGTGACCAGACTGTTGTTACAGTATATGTGACCAGACTGTTGTTGCAGTGTATGTGACCAGACTGTTGTTGCAGTATATGTGACCTGTCTGTTGTTACAGTGTATGTGACCAGACTGTTGTTACAGTATATGTGACCAGACTGTTGTTTACAGTGTATGTGACCAGACTGTTGTTACAGTATATGTGACCAGACTGTTGTTGCAGTGTATGTGACCAGACTGTTGTTGCAGTATATGTGACCTGTCTGTTGTTACAGTGTATGTGACCAGACTGTTGTTACAGTATATGTGACCAGACTGTTGTTTACAGTGTATGTGACCAGACTGTTGTTACAGTATATGTGACCAGACTATTGTCGCAGTGTATGTGACCTGACTGTTGTTGCAGTGTATGTGACCAGACTGTTGTTACAGTGTATGTGACCAGACTGTTGTTACAGTATATGTGACCAGACTGTTGTTACAGTATATGTGACCAGACTGTTGTTTACAGTGTATGTGACCAGACTGTTGTTGCAGTGTATGTGACCAGACTGTTGTTGCAGTATATGTGATCTGACTGTTGTTTACAGTGTATGTGACCAGACTGTTGTTGCAGTGTATGTGACCAGACTGTTGTTGCAGTGTATGTGACCAGACTGTTGTTGCAGTATATGTGACCAGACTGTTGTTTACAGTGTATGTGACCAGACTGTTGTTGCAGTGTATGTGACCAGATTGTTGTTGCAGTATATGTGACCTGTCTGTTGTTGCAGTATATGTGACCTGTCTGTTGTTGCAGTATATGTGACCTGACTGTTGTTGTAGTATATGTGACCTGACTGTTGTTGCAGTATATGTGACCTGTCTGTTGTTGCAGTATATGTGACCTGACTGTTGTTGCAGTATATGTGACCTGACTGTTGTTGCAGGGGACCTACTGGAGGTGATGCAGAAGTTTGCTGGGATGATGAACTGGAAGCCGGAGATGGCCGACCTGATTACGGAGTGCGAGGGAGAGTTCAGAATAGTAAGTAATGCACTGATCCTGCTCCTCCTAACTCTATATCGACTTTCTGTAACCAAACTTGATGTTACTGAAGTGTCCAACAGAATTGTAGGGATGCATAAACAGATTTTTACAGTTTAGTTTGAAAATTATATTGTTTGAAATATTAGGTAGAATCTGTCTTTTCAAAATTTGTGTCTCACCATGATGCAAAGCTGGCCATGTAATTATTGTATGTTTTCTACTCAGAAAACATTTCCAAATGTACCTGTATTCAAGGATACTTCCTCAAATCTTCATGCTAAAGAGTCATTTTTCTTGAAAACTAATATTCTTGCTGGTTGATATATTTTTATGATTCAGTAAAATAACATAGGAAGCATGTTCCAGGATCATGGCCTCCTCATGTCTCTCATTGTCACTTGATTGTGGCTCTGTACAACTTCACTCCTCCATCACCTATAGATAGGGATGCCACGATACATTGATGCCTTGATCCTTTTCTAATATGATACAATTATTGATACATTCAAAACTGTGTCGATATTTAGTTCTGAAAGTATTGGTTTAAATATATTTATGTATCGTTTACATTTGGCAATTGTATCATTTTTTTGATGTTATGAGAGTTATGATTATTTTTCATGCACAAAGATGGGAAATTAGATCTTTTTAATCTCTGAGAATCAAAAATGTTGATCTTTTCATGGACAGTTATAAAATATGAAATATTAATCTTCAAACTAAATTTGTAACTAAATTGATGCAATCAGGCCGCAAAATAGCAAATGGTGACTTGCTGGAATATCCCTACCTATAGATGCATATTAAACTTTAGAGGTGTCAATCACTATTTATAACCAAAGACAGGGTAGTAGCCTGGTGGATTTATCGCCGGAGACCTGGGGTTTGATTCCCCACATGGGTACAAAATGTGAAACCAATTTCTGATGTCCCCCGCCATGATATTATTGCTTGAATATTGCTAAAAGCGGCGTAAACTAGGCCCACTCAATAACTATTTATAACCAAGGACAGTGGGGTAGTCTGGTGGTTTGTCACGCTGAAGACCCGGGTTTGATTCCCCACATGGGTACAAAATGTGTGAAGCCAATTTAGGTTATATTGCTGGAATATTTCTAAAAGCCGAGCAAGATCATACTCGATCTGTAACCAAGCTTGTGTGATTCCAACGAGAGGGCAGCACTTGTGGTCTGATTACATCACTGTTACGGCAGCATCTCCTCAGCATGTGCCACAGCCTCCCAGCCTCTACCCCCCACACTGTGTCAGTCAATGGTAGGGTTCTGTATATGCACTGAGTAGCCACTGTTCATTACTGGTTCTGTATATGCACTGAGTAGCCACTGTTCATTACTGGTCTGAAAATAGATTTGTGTCACAATGACACTACGTAACAACAAACCCTGGTTAGAACTGATCTTCAGTAACCCATGCTTGTCGTAAGAGGCGACTAACGGATCCGGTGGTCAGGCTTGCTGAGTTTGATGACACAACTGCGTAGATCGATGTTCATGTTGTTGATCCCTGGATTGTCTGGTCCGGACTTGATTATTTAAAGATCACCGCCATATAGCTGGAACATTGCTGAGTGCGGCATTAAACAACAAACAAACAAACACAGCAACATGATGTCGGAATGTGGTGTATATAAACCTGTTAAAAATTGACGATGGATTGTTTTTCTAACATGAAAGTTTATGGATATTTTCTGTCTTGCATTTCAGAGTATGTGTAGTTCAGGTATTTTTAAAATTCTTAGAATAACTGGTGATTGTCACGCATGTTGTATGTTAGATAATTGTCAAGCATGGTAAATTGTCAGGGGAATAGAATTGTCAAGCATGGTAAGTTTTCAGGGGAATAGACTTGTCAAGCATGGTGACTCATTCATGAAATAATTGTTGGGATTTCTTTTCATACTTCACAACACAATATTTGTTAATTCACTAAAGCATGAAAGAACTTTACACATATTTCATGCACTTAAGCATGATAAAATAACACATATGATAATTTTAAGTTTCACTATGGTAAATTATTGTTGATATTGCACATGTAAGCATGTTCAATGGACTCATTTAATCACCATGAAATTCAGCATGATAAAATGATACATTGATGTCTATTTGATGGTTGTCATTTTTTAGGATGAGTCTCTGAATAAATCACTAAAAATAAACAATGTTTTATCTATATGGTGCCTGGTTATTCAGCTGCTTCTATTTGCTCTGCAGAGTTGCATCCCTTGGTATTGCCAGAATCCTATGATTGTATGTTTTGATGATTCACCCTGATAAATCATGTTTGACAGCACTATCCAACAGCAGTAAATGTCCTAAGACTTGCATTACATAAAGAAATAGCCTGTTTAAAGGACTACAGAGTTTCATAAAAAGGTAAAAAAGGTTCAAATGGATCATTTTCGCTACTTTCATGGATCAGTATATAATATTTATAGACAAACTATTCATAACTTTTTCTATGTAGACATTTTTCCTGATATGATGGAACTTGTTCATACCTGCCACCTGACTTTATACAGCTGTCCACAGCATCAATCGTTGCTTCCCAATCTGCCCCTGCCTGTTTTGCCCCCATTGCCCCTACTACTCCTTCTCCCCCATTGCCCCACTACTCCTTCTGACCCCATTGCCCCCACTACTCCAATTGCCCCCCAATTGCCCCCACTACTCCTTCTCCACATTGCCCCACTACTCCTTCCGCCCCCATTGCCCCCCACTACTCCTCCTGCCCCATTGCCCCACTACTCCTTTTCGCCCCATTGCCCCCACTACTCCCTTCCCCCACTGCCCCACTACTCCTTATTGCCCCCATTGCCCCACCACTTCCACCCACCCCCATTGCCCCACTACTCCTTCCACTGACAGTGCTGTTATTGCCCTCACATCCATGGGAGGCTAACTTTGTGTTCAGATGTTTAATCATCATGATGAAGGCCTAGGTTCGAATCCCACATGGGAATATTGTCTCAAGCCCATTTCTGTTGCCCTACTGGTGATTTTACTGGAATATTTCTAAAACTGATTTAAGAATCCAAGTCAATCACTATTTATTTTTAATATGGGGAGCCCTTTAATCTTTCACTTTTGTAATTTGTGTTAGGTCAAGGACCCCTTTAGCTGATAGCTAAATTTCATACACTTATCAGGAACAACTTTCACTGCCGATGTGGAGATGCCCTATACCTGTTGTGGATTGGTTGGTTTTTGTGTAGGACCTGCCTCTTCATGTCTTGCAATGCAGGCGTATATGGTTGCTGGGGCTGAAAACCAAATGTGACTCTTACTACATTGTGTTTTATGCTGACTATGATGTGAATCTCACTTGCTCATTTCCCGGAGATCCTCTTCTCCCAGTACCTCCTGTTGTTTGTGTGTACAGACACCCACATATTTCAAAGTCATAATTCTTGGGGTGAAGTAATCAGCAGGTTTTAAACCATGGGTTGTATTCTGGTGACTGCATGATGACTTGAGCTAGAATGTGAGTGATGATAATTTAGTTATTTGTTTGCTTTATGGGTCAAAAGTTTTCTTTTGTTTATATTTGAAATGGCTTCTGGTAATGGATTGTATGCATATGATAGCTTCAGCGCTTCACATGATATCATGCGTCTTGTCCTGGGTTGAGATCCTCAGATCTTCACACAGTAAAGTCTAGCTATGGTTCATGACTTCCAGACCCGGACTCTGCCATGTCCTTCAATTTCTTATGGATATTCTGGAACAGCAAACCTGATTCAGTGCCATTTTGTCTGTGGTATTATTGGGCTGGATAAGAATAGATACGGGATGGGATGGGATGGTAAGACTTGGGGCCCAAATGGTGCTGTTCATTGTTCATGCTTTCTGTCACCAGTTTGTTACTTTAGACTTGATTATTTAGAGGCTGGTGTGAAATACTCGTAGCTGGAATACTGCTGACAATGACGAGGTTTCAATATCTGATATGAGCAGATGGCAGGATGAGAAATATCTTTGAAAAGTACAAATTTCAAACAAGAGAAATTCGAACTTACAGCAAATTTGTGACTAAAAATGATTTGTCGAACACCTGTTTGAGCTCTAGTTGCATGCATCCTCTGAGCAAATCAGCTTGGGTTTATTATTTTATAATAGGAGCATCATTGTTGATGTAGAAAACCAGCATGGACACTTAACTTTTGCTTTACAATTTATGGAAACTGGAATCTTAACATTTGCTTTAAAATATCCACTAATGCTGACGTAACGAGTTCTTCATTTTCAGTCATACAGTAATTTGAAAATGGAACCACAGCACAGCGGTACCAGCTCGGTGTTTGAATGCTGGGTCAGTCATAATGTGTTGATACACCTAGATGTACCTGGATGGTCCCTCGACTGTCTGTCATGATATTGGCACGGGTGTATTATACATGTATATCATCATGGGCATATATCATGATACTGCCTCAAATATATGGGAAATTCAGATTCAGTTTTATGAACCAATGTTTTGATCATAAATATGTTCACTGGCAATGGACTACATGGAATACAATGGAGACCATAGTCTCATAATCTGTGAATTATAATATTTTCCCTTCCGTCCAGCCTTCACTGTAATGGACTGTTCATAATTTATGGCCAGGGTGGGGTGATGATGATTTTTATGGAGAAGCATGTACAATGTGAATGACACCCCGTAAAATTTATGTACAAATTTATGTACAAATTAAGTGGAACCCCCCCCCCCCCTTTCATGTCATGTACAAAATCAATGATCCCCTCTCGCCATTCCAATAATTTTTAAGCGTAAGTTTTAAATATTTTTATGTACAAAATTGCTGACCTCTCTAGGAACGTGTACAAAATTGCTGAGCCCCCCTACCTCCCCAGAACAAAATGGGTGACCCCTCACCTTAAAATCATCATCACCCCCCCATGCCATAAATTATGAATGGTCCCTAATGCTATTGCCCTAAATAAAAGGAGGCCCAGATTTTCCAAACACATCTCTCTGAGGCTCTTTTTCAGTTTAATTGTAGCAATTTGTTTCCATCAAAATGCTATATTTTTAGAGAATAAGAGTTTGTCTGCCAATGGCCACTATCATTCTTGCTGTATTATTGCAATAAATACATTTTTATTGTTATAGCCATAATTGACTGATTGTCATGATATATGCCAGTTCCATAACATCATATCATCATGATATTGGCACAAGTGTGTGGTACTGGCACCTGTGTATACCTATATATCAGCATGGTGCATCAGTTAATACAATGGGACAGGTATATATCAAACTTGTATCTACCACTGACATGCATGCTGACCTGGCTGAACTGACAATCTCATTCAACTACTGTTCATTACCGCTGCACAAAGTTACGAGGACATCCCGTTACAGATAATATGAGAATGACCTTTTTTTCTGTCCAATCAGAGGAGAGAGTTAAAATGTTAATGTGTTTTCTTATCATCCAACCTCCAAAAGATAACACAGGGGATACAGATGACAGTTACGACTGTACAACTGATTCCAAATGCTAGTGATTGTCTATCTTAACGTACTGAAATACTGCCTTACAATCTCAGCCAATTGTGACACATTCCTAAATTTTTTATTTTTTTTCCAGTTTTCAAATGTTGAGTTAAGAATTTAGTCCAGATATTTGAAGTGTCATGAATGTGGGTGTCATTTGTAAATGGGACGTAAAGCTTGGGGAGATGCTGTTTGATAATATCGACACCATTTCACTGGTTGGTCAAAGTTCATGAAATGTGACATCCAAAGGGATGTTCTCAAATCTTTGGTAGTGGTAGTGAGCATGAAGATCTGAATATTCATGAGATTGGTTGAGCTGTCAGTTTCTGGTCTACTACTAACACTCTCTTGTACTGAGAGGCTAATGGTCGTTACAGAGGATGTGAGAACCTCACGGTTTGCTGTGACTGCCTTTCACATCTATCCACATCTATCCACATCTTTACACATTTATTTGACCTTATGGGATCATTAAAGTAAAACTTCAATAGAAGTCTCAATCCAAATATCTGTATCATACAAATATTAGGATATGAAGTTAAACATAATTTTTATTCATGGACTCTGAATGTTTGTGTGATCATACTTTTACTCTGCAACACAAAAAATGTATGAGAAATATATTTTTCATTCATGCGTTCAAAATGAATAACTATATTTTGCTGAACAATAAAATGATTTATGTTGTCTTCTTATAATAATGGCTTTGCTGCTTGTTAAATGTATGATCTTTGTACAACCCCAAATTCAGAATCATTTCCCATCCATGAATAATTTAACATTGAGGTTTTGTTTTGCATAATATTGATGGAAATCAATGAACACAATTCTCTATCTCTCTGATTTAAATTGTTCCGAGATATCTATTGTCACTTCATAGGTATGACGGGCAGCTTCCTCCATTGCCTGTGAGAACATACAGCGGCAGTATGATGAAGTGGTCATGGCTGCCATTGAAGCAGTGTGCAGCATGATTGAATATGCCAGCCGTTTCACACATTAAGCAAGAAACATTGTCGATGTTGGCTGAGCGATTATTGGCCTGAGTGTTCATTGCCTCTTGCAAAACCAAACCTTTACTCACTGTTTACAAATAGCAACAATACTGTATGCATACACTTGTTATGGAAGAATGAAATACCATATTTAAATGAAATAAACTTGTGTGTTTTAGGGCAACCCTCCCCCAGCCCCGGCAAAGACGAGCCCAAGTCCGACCAGTAAACCTAACCAGCCGTATGCTAGCATGTGGCGACAGAAAGCTCGTCTGGATTTGTTCCGTGCCAACTTCTACTTCTCCAGCAGTGACAGCATGTCTTCCACAACTGACAGTGATTCATCAGAAGATGACATACCTCAGAAGAAGTCGGGCTTGGGCTCCGGACACCGAAATAACACAAGGTTTAGAGGAATTAAAACAGACCCACCAAGTCGAAAATTTGGTACAACCCAGTCAAAAAGGAACACACAGGTTACAGATAGGAAACCAACTCAAGGAGCTTGGATGAAGCAGCATGTAAAGAATGACAGTGGTGTTACTACTGGCTCACAAGCAAAAACAAAGACTACTGAATCGGGAAAGAGAGAGCTGCCCAAGAGACGTAGTTCTTTATCTTTACGATCTCTTCCTGACTCTTCTGGACCTGTTACTCAAGGGTCTCGCCAAAGAGACCAGACGGCAACCCCATCTTCTGAAACTTTGAGTGATACTAATGGTCGGGTAAGGGATAAAAACAAGAGAATTACTCCCAACGCAACAAATCTTGTTTCCCAAAGGACAAGTTCAAGGGAAGCGCTACGCAAACCATCAAATGGTGTTTCTACTCGACAGTTGTACAACAGACCACCCATTCAACCCTCTTCCAAAACAAGGGCTGCTCAACAGCAGAGAAATATTGACAGACAAAAGACTTTGTTCCGAGCAGGATCGGCCGAGATCCCTCGGTTGACGTATCGACATCAGATTCAGAAACCTGTTCGTGATGCACGGATTCTGTCCTACGCAAACCGAAGTTCAGATAGTTCAAGCGCCACTTCTTCAGAAGATTCAGATGATTCCAGATGATGAGTTTCTGCTATAGCAGTTAGCCTTACATGTTCACTGTGATACCGTAGTGTCTTGTATACTGTAGGTGTAGATGTCATCCCAGAAATAACTCATGTTATACCGTAGTGTCTTGTATACTGTAGGTGTAGATGTCATCCCAGAAAGTAACTCATGTTATACCGTAGTGTCTTGTATACTGTAGGTGTAGATGTCATCCCAGAAATAACTCATGTTATACCGTAGTGTCTTGTATACGTAGAGTGTCTTAGCTTAGCAGGACTGGACACTATGGACCAGTGGTATTACTGATTTATGTAGACCCACTCAGAGGTCATGCTGATATTTATGGGATGGTAGATTTGGCTTATGTAATATCTAAATACAGGACCATTTAAAATGAAACTTTAATGCAAAGCTTTACATTTCTGCTATTAATGCAGAGTTAAAAAGTATGGTAAAAATACTTCTGCATTAAAGAAAATAACTGCTTGTTCATCAAAATAATGATAATGGTGCAGATTACACTGTGTGACAGAATAGGTACAGTAAGGCTTGGAGGATGAACTTACACGGATAATCTTACATTGACTGGTAGTACAATGGTTTAGGTCCAGGCCCTTTATAGAGTTACCTCCCTTAGTAAGACCAGAATATCCTGACATGATGTGATCTAGATTCAGTACCAGTCAAAGTTTCTCAAAGCCCAGCCAATTTATAGTTAACCCGTAATAACAAGTTGTATTCCAAACTTCAAACATGGTGTTTGAATGTATGGTGGTTGAAAGTATATGGCTATACTGCATTAATGAGCGATGATGACAAGCAGCCATAACATGGATACCAGAGATTTCTTCAATATATTTTATACATATGTCAGAACATACAGTGATTAGCATACTTGATGTAATTGATCAGTCTGGCCTGGTCATAACAAGGTGAAGGTAAACATGGGCAGATAACTGTTCACATACCCTGACCATTAAAAGTGAAGGTCAGCAAGGGCAGATAACTGTACATAGAGGTATTAAATACAAAGAGATACAGATAATATTTTATGTAGTTGTGATCTGTCTTACTTGGTTAATGTAAATATATAACTGAAATTGTCAAAGAGGTATAAAATACACAAATCATGTCCACAAGTTCCTCTTGAATAGGTTCTCTTATCTACCATTTATCATAATACACCTACCTTGTTTAATGAAACATTCTACTTAGAAATATGACAGTTTGACAAGACAGAAAGTTCGAATATCTGACTCAAGGTCTGTTAAAAATATTTATGTTCTCATACCATCATATGTAGCATTGAGCTCTGATCTAGTAATATTTGTTTCTTTCTATAAAGATTGGCTCATAATAATACATTGCAGAAACATGAAAAGGTACTGAAATTGTTACAAATAGTCTGAAAGCTTTCAGCACAGTCCAAACAAGTCATCATGATTACTCATGACGTTTTTGCCATTTTGTCTCAACCAGAATTGTTTAACTGGAACTATTGAAGCCAGTTCTGTTTGCAAATCCATCCTATGAACTGAATTGTTTTCAAACTTGCCCTGTTGTCCCTGTATATTGGGAGAGTTGTGTGGATATTGTATGACTGTGTGATAGCCACTGTCTTTCCATGTCATGCCAAAGTCCAGGGCAGTAAGCCTGACTCTAGAGTATTGTATCCACATTCCGTTATGATAAATAATGTGAACAATTCGCCAACCTAGATCCATGTCAGAAGTAGAGTCCCATCTATAACTCAAATGTTTCACAGAATGTCTCAAGTTGATGGGCTTGAATTCTACAACCAGTGATATGTTATCCAAGCATAAAAGTGTCACAAATGAAAATTTAGCTGAAAAAAATGTATTCCTTACTGCTGAGATGGAATGGATGCTGTTTGCTACCAAATGTTCCAAATGGTTAGTAACAAGAATTGTCAGGTACTTCAGACATTACAAATCAGTGTTATTTGATTGGATACTGATTTGATGAGCTGTGTTAATCGAGGTGGACCTCATCATAACACAATGGAGATTTAATACACTGTGTATTCAGGGTGGTTGTAACATTATTATTTTCCCTTGGAATTATTTTGTTCTTGTGCCATGAAGGTGCCAAGGTTACTTACCAGTGCTTGTATTTCGTGCCAGTGTTAATATGGTTAAGGGAAGAAAATGTTTTTGAATTTTGTGTGCTTTCCCCTCATTTTTCAGGGTTTTCAATTGGCGTTTAAATCAAGTTTTGTTTGTGTGTCAGGCATCCATCTTGTTTTCTCACAGGATTATTACAAAAACAATGAAAAAATTGTGTTTTGATTACCGTATGTTATAACTTATCTTTTATGTTTTCATACAAAACATTAAAAAAATTAGGCAAGAGGCATTTTAATGTTTTGGAAAAAATAAGATCAGAAGTAAATTTGTTTTTACCCAAACTTAGTTTGCATAGCGTACAAAAACTGTTTCCAGTCCATACTTCACCTGTCTTAAGTTAATGTTACTGGCAATGGACATTCTGCTGGATACATGATTATAGATTTATTTGTATAAATGGAAAAAAGAAAGGAGGTAGCATAGCACCCTATTTGACCCACTGAAGTATTGGTATAAAAGTTATTAGACATGTTCATGGCAGATGACGAGCCTTTTTTCACTATTACAGGATCAAGTATAATGATTGATCATAGCCCAAATATATGAAAATAACCAAATGTTTTGAACTTTGAAGTTAGATCTAAGTATTGTAAATTTATAATAATCAGCTTAGGTCAAACACTTATTTATGTATAAATATGAAAAAACACTTGTTGAAAGCCTCAAATGTAATTCTCATTCATGCACGCACATTTGGTAACATTCATACTGAGTAGAAAAGGTTTTTCCAAATTTCTTGGAAGTATCTTCTAGACCAAGTTGTACCCCTAACATATCATACCTTGTAATTATTATAATGGGATGAAATATATTAAATACTGTTAATGGCTGTCCAATAATGAAGAAGTTTTCACCATGACACATTCTAGTCTTTGACAAAATGCATTTATATGTACAACAAGAATATTTCATATAAGCAAGTGTATATGTTTGCACAGATACTGTCTATAAATGCCCAGTCCCTTGGAATATCACTGTATCAGCATATTAATGTTGTATTTTATTTAAAAACATGAAAACTCTCTATATTTTTCCAAAATATAATGTTTGACTTATTAAGGCCCCTGTAAATAATTATTGTTTCTGTAACCTAACTGACCAGTTGTCTCACTTATGTCCAAAACAAATTTAATATATATAATATAATATATGTAAATATTCAAAAAAGAATGGAAATTTCCACATATCACAGGTGCAAGCATTTTGACCATCAGTTCTAAGCAAGTCATCTGTGTTAAATATTAGCTAAACGAATCTAAAAAACCCCAAAACTTACCTTCAACCCATATCTGTTAAATTAAGATTTCCTGGACCACAAGTAGGTTACTCTTTCACCATACTTATGTACCAGTGGTGTGAAAACAGCATATGTATAGCTGAGTATATGTATATCTCAGATTGCATGTTTTTGTAATATAAATCTTGCTACCATGACCTTTTTATACTTATGTTACCAAAATGTTGTATAGATTTTCAAGATGTTTGTACATTTCAATGTGACATCTATAGTATTACCCGTCTTGTTTTTCCTGCTTCCATTGTGTATGTCTGTGAGTATTACCTCCTCATGTTGTAGTTTTGGAGGGAATTAGGGAATGGTTTTGTTCTTACCCCTAGTGCTAGGTATGGGAGTTGAGAGTGAGATATTGTTTGCATCAGGTTTTTTCATCAGAAAACAGATCAATTCATTAGTCAGGAAGGGCCAGTTGTACATATTTTAGCTTCCATGTCAGTTAGTGGCCATTCTTTTGGAAGATGTCAAATGATTTAGGTAGTGGATGAGTTAGGATAAGGGACATTGATGACCATCTGGAAATGCAAATGTAAACGTTTATATAAATTATTAGCCATGTGCAAATAACAGCCAACTGGCCTAGATAAAACTATATGAAGATATTATTAGGTTAAGTCCAGATCTTTAACTGGACAAGACTTTAAAATTGTTAACTACTGTTAAAATGAACTTGCTAAGATGAGCTGCATAATGAAGAGAGCATGTATTTTACTCCTCTTCCGTTGATTCTGGCATATTTTGAGGTTTGTTTCTTGAAATGGAATATTTAACATGGGAGACTATTTTTCAATATGTGCCTTAAATTAGTAAATGATAATGCTGGATATTGTCCTCTTTTATTCCATAGTATTCCATCAGTGCCCTATTCAGACTGCTCTTGTCATTTTATAGTTTACAGAACTCTGATAACCATTGGAAATAATCATTAATTAGTTTAATATTTTCAAACTATATTTTGCATACCGGGGGGTAGGTTGTTTTGATCATTTGGATAAATGTGTGAAAATACCAATTCTGTAATTCAATATTAATTCAGAAACATCATGTCATTACTTATGAGGGCTTTGCCCCAAGGGAGACTTGCAGTGTTTAGAGAGGATATAGATGTGTTTCATAAGTTACTGTTTAATAAGGTAATACATATGCTCAAAACTACCCAAGTCTTTCAAAATTGAAATATTCATATTTTTTTGTAAATCAAGTTAAGATGGATGGGCCAGGCAAGTAAAACTAAATAATTATAATCTTTTTTTTCTCAATGTGGATCTGGTATTGCCAATCTGTAAGCTGTAAAATACAAAAGGGTGTCACCTCAGCATATCATTGTTATCAGATATAGACAACATGCAGCTGATGTACAGATCAAGGTGCTGTGTCACGGATGAGTTTACCTGAATGCTTGTGGTTATACTAGTAACATATAGAGAGGAAATAAACTGACTCCATTATCAGTACAGCAAGTCCAACTAGGTTTGTTGTTTTTGTTCAACATTGTAACTTGATGAGGCAGATTATGACTGCTAGAGGCCCTCACGCCCGCAACTGTCATCTCCATTCTGTAGAGTCAGCGTTGTTTCAGAAGTGTCATCTCACCTGCATAGCTTGAACCCGTGAAGATTCGGGTTAGAACCAGTCTTCAGCAACCCATGCTTGTCAAAGGAGGTTCTGGTTGTCAGGCTCGCCGACGTGGTTGATGCATGTCGTTGTATCCCTATTGCATAGAGTGATGCTCTTGATGCAATCACTAGATTGTCTGGTCCACACTCGATTATTTATTCAACAGCATTCATATAGCTGGAATATTGCTCAATGTGGCGTCAAACAACAAACAAACAAATCAACAACCAATCAAACACCTGTGGAAGGGAGTTTCACAGATTTTACCCACAATTCAGAGGTGTATAGCAACTGACATTAGCAACTGATGTCAGTATGATTTGTTGCCCTTTTCAAAACGATACTAGCTTTATTACAGTGGCCTGTCTGAACAAGATCAATACTGATCAATGTTCCAAGCCACTGGAGTATGATGACACAACCAGCAACCAAACTTCCGAGCCTGACCACCCAGTCCATTAGTTGTCCCTAACAACAAGCACATGCTGCTGGGGACCTGTTAACCAGCATTCCATGGATATACCTCATACACACTGACAAACCAAGGACAAAGTCAACACTGCAGGAGATGATACAGAACAGGTGGTGTACAAGCACCTGCTGAAGTCTACTGCTACATCCAGCTGCAGCACTGACTTGTAGCTCTCCTGGTGTCAAGTCATATGATGAAATAAGAAAAAAGCTTATTGCGAAAATAATTTTATTGGAGATGTGTAGACAACAATGTAAAAACTGTTCCATAATCAATCATGTTCAATCAAGGTAAAGATTAATGGTATTAATTTTACCCAAACAAACTGCATTTATCCATATATATTACAACAAATATATATAGTTCCAGGTCTCATTTGACAAAACCAAGCCTTGTATATATTAACTCATCTGCTTAGGTGTACCAGTTAAATCTTATAATGACTGATCATTTTAAATATATAATTCAATGAGCACACACATGTACACTTTATTCATAATCACTTAAAAATGAGGCATGTTTCTGCTTACAAGCCAACAGATGGAAGGAATACAAAAAAATCAAAATAGCATAGTATAGAATAGAATTTGAACATATGATAATAATCCATTGAATACAATACCTGTTGACAGTATACACAAACACGTGGCATGTGTTCATTAGTTGTTCAAGATCCCTTGACATGTGTATATGTATCAATGTCTTTAGTTTTTTTTTAGTCTTTAGTCTTTATTCATGTAAATGTAGACCATCGGCCCATGGTACAACGTTATACATTGGTAGCCTTCAAGCTGTACCGATGACGATTGTTAGCATAGAAGATGAACATAGCAAGATTTCTTAACAAAGGAGGAGTAGCATTACTCACCAGTCGATTTACACAAGGTTGGATGGGTGAAAACATCGACAGGGATAAAACGTTTACATAGATCATCATAGACAGTACAAATCAGTAAAAAGTGGTACTCATTTTCTACATAGTTACAGGAACACATTTCACACAATCTTGAAAAAAACCCCAATGTATCAATGTATATCACAGCTCTGGGGCAAATAATGTTGGAATAATATTTGTTAAAATAAATGTAAAAACTAAAAATGATTTTTGATTCTTCAACTGATGGCCATATTGTCCGACATGTATGAAGGGTTGATTCAGCTAAGGGAGACAACTCTTTACGCCTTAGCGAAAACCCAGGATCATAAACGGCTTTCTGCTAAACAGGCACCTGAAACCAAAAGAAACAACAGGTGATAAAGGTTTGTCTAAACAATCAAACCATACTGAATGGTATTTGTTTGAGAAAATCTATTACTGCAACTTGCCATCCTTTGTTCTGAGAATGATGCCTGTTTAATTAGAGTTAAATCTTTAAGAAATGGGCTAAACTATTATCTTTTTACTCCGTGTCAATGGCAGCTAACTAAGTTTGCATTAAGTCAACAAGGTGGTGCCATAAGCTGGAGTTACTCATTCAAAAAAGGATTGAAGAATAATTGTTCACACCAAGTACGTTAATTTTTTTACGTTAATCAGGCAAGAAGCTGCAGTCTCACCTGGTGCTGCTGGAGTCCCCAGAGTCCAGAGTCGGTTGATGACAGCATTCTTCAGGTTGAGGTATTTCAAAACATTGGCATCTGAAAAAATGTGTAAACTCCTGTTACAAGCAAACATTGTGACAGACTGAAACTGCTAATGCTGTATCATGGTATTTCTTTATTCATGTTTTGTTAAAAATGCCAACATACATCCATTTAATGATATTTCATTTGGTTGGGGTTGGGGGCTCATCTTTATTTGGTGATGCCTTATTTTTATGACATATTTTTGCCTAGGATGGCACTTGTATTTACTTCAAGATTTACAGTCTATAGATTCTGTATTGAATGTTTTAACTTACCTCCAGACTGTATATACTCTTTTATCACCGGCCAGATGGTGATTACAGGTACACACATGTTGACATGAGGGAAACTCGCGCCTGTGTCAGTGTCTCTGTAACAGGTGTAGAGTTAATCACATTCAAATCTGATCTTGTACTGGGGAATGATGTCACTCTGTCAAGTCTTAAGGACACATCCCAAGGAAATCGCAACAGGTGAACTCTGCACTCTTCTGACCAATCAGTCTAAATGAAGGAAGCATGGGTACATCAGCAAAAACTCTTACCAGCTTCAAACACTATTCTGCTTCAATTTTTACCTTGATTTGGAAATTTTCATCAATAGCTGTCGCCAATATACATTTGTTCATGCACCAGTTTTGGTGCACAAATGCCAAAGAACTTGCACACAACATTCACCACACGTTTGAATGCTTTTCCCCCTCATACTGTTTGTCTGTTGTTAATGCTGCACTCAGCAATATTTTCAGCTTTATAGCCAATCCACTGATGTGCCTCTTGTGCATCGATCTCTGTAATTGGGATCCGATGACAAGCATTTCCCCAGTCTCAGCAAGCTGGACCACCCAATCCTGTTTATCACCTCTTACTGACTGACTGACTGAGTTTAGTTTTACGCCGCTTTTAGCAATATTCCAGCAATATCACGGCGGGGGACACCAGAAATGGGCTTAACACATTGTGCCCATGTGGGGAATCGAACCCGGGTCTTCGGCGTGACGAGCCAACACTTTAACCACTAGGCTACCCCACCGCCCCTTATCACCTCTTACAACAAACATGGGCTGTTGAGGACCAATTCTATCCTATATCTTTACAGGTCAACCTCATACCAAGAATGTACAAGTTTTGATGTTGATTGGCCAGTTAGAAAGTTCATCTGAGACAAACCCATAAGGAGATATGAATAAGTCTTTAGACAACAGGTATCATACCAGAGAAAAAGATTGGATTTTATAAAGATTTGTTTTAGGATCAAATTTCTCCAAAGCCAAGTTTCAATTAATTAATTAAGTTATTAATTTGATACTGAGAAAGTTGTCAGTGATTATTAAGGTAAGGTATGTTACTGGTACCATATTCACAACAATGTGTTTTAATGACTTAAGAAGATGACACATGCAATACTGTGGAATAACTGTAACCTCGAAGCCAATTTTAGAAATATTTTCAATCTATCAAATTACAGCACATCCATATTTGTTTCTGATTACACATTTGACTTACCAATATGAAAATGAATAATTTTGTCAACATACTTGGCATTACAGACGACAATTCCCAGAAGACGTCCCTGTCCATCCAGTACTGCCCCTCCACTGGCCCCTGGATGGACAGCACATGTTGTCTGAAACAAAGTGAGCGGCAGACGATCACTAGCTGAGAACTAACATTGTCACTAAGGTGACATAATCCCCCGCCGTAAATTATCAAATCAAACTTAAAAAGTAATGAAAATTTAAGATGAAGTTCAATGTCAACAAAAACATGACCAGTCAACCTCTCTTGATATCTTCTCTTTAGTTGTTCAAACACATAAATATTTTCAAGACTGACTTTGAGCTTGACACGATTGTCATAGTGTATGAAATATGCAAAAATGGTCCTAAAGAAATTGCTTATTGGAAAACATTCAAGGGAATTCTTGAATGTCTATGAAGAAAATCCAGCAAATTCAGGGTAACATGCTGAAAACTTCAAAGTGTCGCAGTGACCTTGAAAATTATGCGAAGGTCACCAAAATTGACTGGGCCCTGTGCCTTCATTAGATGAAGCTTGGTGTCAATTATGAAAAAAAGTCCAGTGAATGTTTTTTTGCGATATCTTGCTGACTATCTTAACATGCAATTTAACATGCTAAAATCTTCAACGTGCCTTTGTGACCCTGAAAATTAAGTGAAGGTCACCAAAATTGAGTGGGCCTTGCACGTTCCCTAGATGAAGCTTGGTGTCAAATATGAAGAAAGTCCAGAGAATGGTTCTTGAGATATCTCGCTGACCATCTTAACATGCAGGTCAACATACTGAAATCTTCAAAGTCTCGCTGTGACCTTGAAAATTAAGTGAAGGTCAACAAAATTGACTGGGTCCTGTGCCTTTCCTAGATAAATCTTGGTGTTGAATATGAAGAAAATCTAGTGAGCGGTTCTTGAGATATCTCGCTGACAAGAGTAAAAGGTGAAAGTCCCTTGTGACCTTGAAATGAAGGTCAAGGTTACCTAACCTGACTGTGACCTTTCTTATACTGTGATGAACCTAGGTACCAAATATGAAAAGAATCTAGTCAACGGTTCTTAAGATATTCTAATTCATATATACGGATGGATGGACGGATGGAGCCTAATACTATATCCCCGATTCGCGCTAAACACGCGGCGGGGGATAATGAGAGTGAGAGAGTTGGGTTTATGCAGCCCTTAGTAATATTCCAGCAATATCATGGTGTTGGACACCAGAAATGGGCTTCACACATTGTACCCACATCGGGAATCGAACCCAGGTCTTTGGTGTGAGCGAACGCTCTGAGTATGAGAGAGGAACCGGCAGACGGTTAGACATTAGATGTAGAGAGAGACTCTGTTCTTCAGTTGTTTTAGCAATAGTTTATTTTAAATAATGAAGAGATTTTGTGAACATTGAATACTGAATCTCACCTGAATCATGACTGGAATATTGTTGACCTTGACCACTTTGGATATAACACCAGAGGTCACTGAAGGGTGAAGGTCAAGCTCCTCACCAAATGTAGCATGGCCAACAACATAGACTGTAGATCCTTTGAATAATACAAACAAGTCATTGTATAAACATTAAGTATGACTCACAATGAATTTGTTGACTGTAATTTATTCATATCAGCTCATTATCTGAAATGCCACTCATTTAATATGTATAATTTTATTCATTAGGCCAGACAAATTTTATTTGTTGTTTTACGTTGAGCCAATGCTTTTTGTCCTCTTAAAACCTAAAGGGTTGAAAGGCAGGAGGGAAAAATAAAAATAAATCACCAGTCAAAAGTAATATTCCTTCTAAATACTCAAAGTATTTTGCTGGATGATTTTTTCGCAATTTATGAAGTATGTATGGGGCAAAACAATCTAAAGGCAGAGGGAAAAAGAAAAAGAAAAACAATTTACATTCTTGGCCAATAAAACATCTAAAAAACGATTTTATTTTTTTGATTTTTGAGCAGGGAAAATTTATTTGGATTTTTTTTCTTATTCTTGAAACAATATGACAGGCGGATCCGTAAAACAAGAAATGTAATTGGTCTGGCCTTAGCTGTGATTACAGGCAAGATTTCAAAGTTGACTGAAGGAGAAAAAAACCCAGTCGGTCTTGGATGGTTAACACTGGCAATAAGCCAGTTATAGCAATATGGTGATACGAGACCATGGGTTTCACACATTATATATATGAGGATTTGAACCCAACGTTCTGCATGATGAGCACTTTACCCACTGACCTACCCATTGTCAGATCAGTATTTCAACTCATTGTAGTCATCAACACATTTAGAGTAAAGTGGACATATGCCATATACATTACCCAAAATTAGTTAAAGACTGACTGACTGAGTATGGTTTTACGCCGTTTTTAGCAATATTCCAGCAATATCAAGGCGGGGGACACCAGAAATGGGCTTCACACATTGTACCAATGGAGGGAATCGAACCCGGACCTTTGGCGTGACGAGCGAACGCTTTAACCACTAGGCTACCCCGCCGCCCCATGAGTTAAAGAACACTCAGTTCTTTTATAGTGTAATGATAACACATAGTAATATGAAAGAATCTGATGTTCTTTTACTTCTATAGAGTAGGGGAGTGGTAGGGTAGTCTTGTGGTGAAAGCGTTCACTCATCACACTAAAGACTAAGGTTCAATTCCCCACATGGGTACAATGTGTAAAGCCCATTCCTGGTGTCCCCGCTGTGATATTGCTGGAATATTGCTAAAAGCAGCTTAAAACTAAACTCACTCACTTTTGGGTAGAATATACCAGGATACATCCTGTCTGGGATGATGTGACAAGTTTAAGACTCCTGCACAGTAGGTTTGATTAACAGAAAACAAGTCATGACTCTACCTTCTGTGGGATAAGCTAAGGGGGGACAACTCTTGTGTGCTTCCAGTCCGGTGCATGAGACAAGGGCCAGGTCAAACTGTGTCCCTACAGGACTCTTGTACAGAACCTGGCACGGCTGGAGAGGACTGCGAGGTGCTGACTTCAGCTGCACTGTAACAGGTGATCATTGCAAGGTATACAACTGGCTTTCATAACAAATGGAAATACAGTCATCCCCTGCCATATGCGTTACGAGACGTCCGCGTTATACATAACAAGGCATAAAGGCCAAGTAAAATGTATTTTCCATGTGCATAGCATAACTGCTATTTCTTGTATTGTGCCCACTATATCGTATCATTGGGGGTGAGTGAGTGAGTTCGTGAGTTTAGTTTTACGCCGCACTCAGCAATATTCCAGCTATATGGCGGCTGTCTGTAAATAATCAAGTCTGGACCAGACAATCCAGTGATCAACAGCATGAGCATTGATCTGTGCAATTGGGAACCGATGACATGTGGCAACCAAGTCAGCGAGCCTGACCACCCGATCCCGTTAGTCGCCTCTTACGACAAGCATAGTCGCCTTTTGTGGCAAGCATGGGTTGCTGAAGACCTATTCTACCCCGGATCTTCACGGGTCTCATTAGGGGTGAACAAACAAAGAAACTTTGTTCATGACAATAGGAAACTATCAATCAAACATCACTAGACATGACAATTCACATTGTCATTCCTGTCATGCTGCCTGATATTCAACTAAGCCAGAGATGAGATGACTGACTGACTGAGTTTAGTTTTACGCCGCTTTTAGCAATATTCCAGCAATATCGCGGCGGGGGACACCAGAAAATGGGCTTAACACATTGTGCCCATGTGGGGAATCGAACCCGGGTCATCGACGTGACGAGCCAACGCTTTAACCACTCAGGGCTATGCACCTTCCAGAGATGAGATGATGAGGTGAGGTGAGGTGAAATTGGGTTTTACGTCGTGCTTGAGAATATTTTGCTCATATGACGAAGTGCATGTGTGTGTATGTGCGGCTGCTTGTACTAGCCCAGGCTTAAGATAGTTTTATAGTGCTAGCCCAATGAGATACCATGCCTCAGTGAAGCATGAATACCCCACTCAGACACATTATACTGACTCCGAGCCGACCAGTCCTTGTTGTACCCATTAATGCCGAGCGCCAGGCAGGGACCAACAAGTTCCATATTTTAACGTCTTTTGGTATGATGCGGTCGGGGATGGAACCCACGACCTTCCGCTCTCCAGGTGGACGCTCTAACCACTACACCATGGAGGCGGTCTTCAACTAAGCCAGAAATAGCAAGGAGGCAAGGAGCCCTAAATATATTCAACTAAAAGAAATTGTGATCATGTTCCTTTTTTGACAATTTATTCTACAAATTCTGAAGTCCTCTTCCTTTGAACAGAGCTACAGATAACTTTTTGGGTCATTGAGTTATGTACGCGCTTGTGTTTATCTCAATTGGGTATACTAATTTTTCTTTGAGTAACCAAATAAATTGTACCCACCTCACTCAAACTCAGTTGGGTATTTTGTCATTTTCCATTAATTGTAAAAAAATAACATAGTTTAAATGTTTGTTTAGGTGTTTGTTGTTTATATTTGATCAGTAATATGAGAAACGATAAGAAAGACTGCAAGTTGCCGAGTTCATGTGCTGAAATAGAACCTCTCAATATACCTTAACATTTTTGTGTGTACGCATGTAAGATCAAATGTAATGAGTATTTACAAAAATCAAGCGTACATGTACGCAATAGACGTAATAGGATATTGAGTTTTCACATGAATATTTGTGTAATTTACGCAGATACACAGCTTATCTGTTCCTCTGTTTGAAGATATAATTTAACTTGTGTTAATTTGGCCCAATAAGACCTCATTGATCTTCAAAAATTGTAATCTTCCTAAATAAAGATTTCAGCTGTGCACTCAACATGAGAATCATTGTTACCATTCTACATTTCAACGAACTGACCGTGCTTGTCATGTTTGTGGGTGACTTTTCAGTGTTTCTGGTTTTCTGACGAATAAGTAGACCAGGGTCATGTTGCACATACTATTGTTGTGCTCAGGTGATCTTAACTCTCATACTTTAACATAGGCTTGCGACATAGGGTTTGATAGCTATCTTTGTGAAGTGGGGCACAGGTCCCGCTTATACAAAGCTATCTTAGGTATTGCAAGTCGACATTCAAGTATGGCAGGTACCATAGTGTCAGCACAGACTGCAGTTCCATGTATTGTATTCCTCTTTCTGCAGAAAATGTATGCATTAAGTTACCTGTATGGCTGTGAGAATCCTTGATGACATGTGAACAGGTGATGACCAACCCCTGACCTTGACCAAGTATTACCCCTGACCCCCAAGAAGGTCCGACCTTCAGCAGGGGAACTTCTCCCAAGGTCAAGGACATACTTTTCTTGGTTCCTATAAAAGAAAAACATACCAGTAATAATAGAAAATGGTTAATGTTTTTTATTGTCAGAACTCTGACATCCGATATCAAATCAAATTATCGCAAACAACAGTGACCCTTGAAGATCCGGGTTAGAGTTGATCTTCAGTAACCCATGCTTGTCGTAAGAGGCGACTAACAGGATTGGGTGGTCAGGCTCGCTGGCTTGGTTGACACATGTTATCGAATTCCAATTGTCTAGATTGATGCTCATGCTGTTGATCACTGGATTGTCTGGTCTAGACTCGATTATTTACAGACAGCCGCCATATAGCTGGAATATTGATGAGTGTGGGGTAAAACTAAACTCACTCACTCAAACAACAGTGATCTATTAGCATTTTAATTCATGACCATATATCTTGTGACCACAATTTACTTTTAGAGATTGTTAGTTTATCCATCAGAATATACTTTTGGCCTCTGCTTCGACACTGCAGTCAGGAATATTCCAGCAACATCACAATGCATACATATTGAGTTTGGAACAGTCAAACAAGAGATAATATTTTGAGCCATCAACTTGCAGTAACACATCAAATTCCAGAATTAAAAATTCAAGACAAAGTCTACAAAGCACTGGTATCATTTCAGGAAAAGATTTCAAGGACACAAATTCAATCAAAATTTTTATTTCCTACTCCAGCCAAGAAGAAACAAACAAACCCATTGCGCTTAATGTAATATAAACCAACTGATAAGGTAGTATGTTTTCCTTATTTACACTATTATTTTCATATGTTTAACTCAGATGGTTCATTTAGAACTGGTTCTAAAAAAGCTTCAAAGAAGTAGAACTGGTTAGTTGAAATATTTCTGATATTTGTAGTCAAATAAGCTTCTAAAACAATTCTCTATCTAAGGCTTGAGCTTAACAACTTCTTCCATCTGTGATAAACACAGTTGGGTTGTAAGTGACACAGGTCTCCTTAGCTACCTGAAATGTACAGTTACTATGATAACCAAGTCTAAGCTACAGGTTTTGTTGCTTCTGAAGAAAAGTAAAAACATGTATATGACAGACCAGGGCTTCAGATAAGGGCCGTATCGCGTATGTACGGCTAAAAAATATGCATGAGGAAATGTGGGAAATAATTTAGAAAACGTAGCGGATACGCACCACACCAGTGGTGTACAGTCTCAGAATCATTTACAGATGTATTTATCTGAAAACGTATTATTTTATTGTTTATTGCTCCATTTACACAAGAGTAGCAATGTTGTGGTGCATATATGAAAGGAAACACAAGATTACTGATACTCCATTAAATTCTTATACTCGAAATGTACTCTTAAGGTTTTCCAGTACTCCTATACTGCAAAAATATGGAGTACGTTCTCCTGATTTTGAAAAATGATCTGGAGCCCTGCAGACAATGTGTAGTAATGCCAGCTTACAATCATGCAAGTCACACGATACTTAATTTGCACTGTGTATGTGAAAGTCAGTATTCAATATGGGAAGTCTGCATGGGGGAGTTGCGATCGTCAGCTTTTTTTGGCTCACATAACTGGTTAATTTATGCATGTTTTGTTTAGTGTCAGGAGGGCAGGGAAGTAAATCCATCCAAAATATTTACTGGGCCAAGTTACTGCAATCTTCGTCAACACTATTTTATAAATCAAAACAGTAGATGGTAGATCTATCTTGTGTTGTATTGCTGGTGAACACTTGCATCATTCCCTGTAGAGAAACAATATGTACTTTCATGAGTCAAGAATGAATCAGCAAGTCACCAAGCATTATACCTACAGCAAGGATTATGCAAAATACCTTAATGCTAAGTCCCTTATGTTAAGCCTGCTCTCTCCAAGGCTTATGTAAATTTGTTAGGCAAACAGCGAACACACTATTAATAAGTTAGCTATGTTACTTCATTAAGCACTTCTTAGTCAAGTGGAGCAGTGGGGTAGCCTAATGGTTAAAGCGTTTGCTCGTCACGCGGAAAACCCGGGTTTGATTCCCACATGTGTACAATGTGTGAAGCCCATTTCTGGTGTCCCTTGTCGTGATATTGCTGAAATATTGCTAATAGCGGCATAATACTAAACTCACTCTCACTCACTCTTAGTCTAGTGGATAGTGTGTTTGTCTGGAGAACAGAAAGTACCTGGTTCAATCCCCCTGGATACATCATACCATCAGACATTACATATACATACATTTGGCCTTACAGTTCAAATATCTTAAAAGCAAAGATAAACACCACTTCTCCAGTTTGTGTAATTTCTCTAGCAAGCTAAACAAACACTTTGGACAAGCAGAGGTGGATGGTTTACTGGAGGAGAGCAGTTCATGAGTCAATATCATGCATTGACAAATAGAGAATCTCACCGAGTGTCTTTTGATATCAAATATATCACGAGTTGATAAAGTTACAAATATCTGAGGCTTGACGAGGATATTTTTACTTTTATCAACGAGTGTTGATATATTTGATATCAATAGACACGAGGGTGAAATTCGATTTATCATCAAATATCACTCTTCATTAGTTTTCAATGAAAATGCACATCTCTGAACATGGTACTGCCATTAGACTTGCAGTGCAGCGATGTCATAGCATTGTGACGTCATTAAATTTATGACATCACAGCATTGTCAGGGCACTGTACAAAATCTACTGTCAAGACAATGTCTCCTAGGAGATATCGTTTGATCTCACACATGCAATATCTCCTGTGGAGCACGGTTTTGGATGATGTCACTACAGACACAGCTGGGACACACAACACCACTGTACTACCCCGGTAGTAATAGACCAGGGTGCCATTGTACAAGCAGCCTTAGCGCTAAGATGATCAAAACTCCCTACCTTAACACCGACCTCCGACAGTCGTAGTGCTAGGTTGCTTTGTACAACGCCACCCTGGCCCATTTCTGGTGTCCCCTCCATAATATTGCTGGAATAATGCTAAAAACATCATAAAACTCACTCACTAGCAATAGTCACGTGAGTGAGTATGGTTTTATTCCACTTTTAGCAATATTCCAGCAATATCAAGGCAGGGAACACCTGAAATGGGCTTCACACATTGTACCCATATGGGGAATCGAACCCAGGTCTTCTCGGCAATTGAACCCTTGAACCCCGGGTCTTCAGTGTGACAAGCAGATGTTTTAACTGTAAGGCTACCCCATCCTGAGTACAGTGGAAATTGATTTTTCTGTTGAACTCAAAATGTGATGATTAAGCCAACTGTTAAGTGTCTTGAAATCATTTCTTTTATTAGACTTTTCAAACAAATTCATTAATTCTTTCAACAAGCATGGAGCAACAAGTTGCGGAGGACTAACATTGTAACAAAGACATAGACTGTGTTTTTTAAAATGTGTAATTTTGGAATATCATTTTATCCCCATCTTGCCTCTGTTATTTCAGGATAAAAAACCCTCTCTAAAACAGAAACTGAACTGATCTGGCCTTAGGTATATTTCAGAGTTCTATGTGATGGAATCTGAACATCTGAACTAAAAATAAGTATTAATACTTCAAGCTACTTTTGAAAGAAATTTGCTTAACTGGTACATCATACTGTCAAATAATATTTTTCATGGTCTATCATATTTATTTACCAACCTGGAAATTGCTGCCTCTTCCTCAACTCAACTTCATAGTCTACTTGTTCATCCAGCCGTGGAATGCTGCCAAGCACTTCATGTATTGAGCAAGCCAGGGAAAAGCCGAGCCACTCTCCGTTCTTCCAACACATTGACGATACAACAATACCACTTAAATGTCTGGAATGGAAGAAATCAAAACCTGGAGAATACTGTGATCTGTAGATTTACAACTTCTAAAACCAGGTTCACCTATCACAGATCGATTACAGAGCTACGTGTCGTAGGTCCATGTTACAGAATAGGAGTTACGACAGCCATAGTGCAACTATTGCTTGGTGAACTTGGAACCATTGTGTCAGGTGAGGTGAGGTGAAATTGGGTTTAACGTTGTGCTTGAGAATATTTCGCTCATATGACGACGTGCATGCGTGTGTATGTGTATGTGCGGCTGCTTGTACTAGCCCAGGCTGAAGCTGGTTTTATAGTGCTAGCTCACTGAGATACCATGCCGCAGTGAAGCATGAATACCCCACTCAGACACATTATACTGACTCCGAGCCGACCAGTCCTTGTTGTACCCATTCATGCCGAGGGCCAGGCAGGGACCAACAAGTACCATATTTTAACGTGTTTGGGTATGACGCGGTCGGGGATCGAACCCGCGACCTCCGCTCTCCCATTGTGTCAGAGTGAGTGAGTTTAGTTTTATGCTGCTTTTAGCAACATTACAGCAGGGGACACCAGAAATGGTCTTCACAGATTGTACCCATGCAGGGATTCAAACCCGGGCCTTCGGCATGATGAGCGAACGCTTTAACCACTAGGCTACAGGCCCCCAACACCCACTGCTTCAGAGGAAGTACCAAGCCATGTTATCACTCACACTGAGAATTGATAGTTTTCTTTATTACCCATGTGGTCAACGTATGGGTAGTTGCATACTAATCTGTTGACCTGTTGACCTGTGTCGTAACGACTTGACCCGAGATTCTAACGATTTGATTGGATAACAGATGACCTCTCAATTAGGTCACATTCTGGCGTAACTATATTTTCATTCATAACAAACACGTGAATTCATTCATTCTACAACTTAAATGCATTGTGGGAATGTAAACATCGAGCATGTTGCAGTGTCGCTGTTTAATTGTGAGACGAACAGAGACATTATATCCGTCGAAAAACATAAACGCAATGTTTCCACCAGTGATATTTGCCAAATGAAGAAACTGCAAACCAAGAAACGGGGTGCTACGGAGTAGTTTACTGTAGGAGGCTGTACGAGGCGATGACAACTGACATGCATCGTGACGTCGCTTACCAAGGCAGTGACGTCATTACTGTGTGATGTCATGCAAATATTGTACTACAGTACAAAACTCTTCCGCAACCTCTTTATGAAACCGGTTTCAGTTTGAAACCAAAATATTAACAAGAATACACTATTTTGTCAATTTAATGCATGTAAGACCTGGGTAACAACATTTCAAACAATTGTTTTCTAATGCACTGGTTGCAAGAGGGTAGAACATAAATAAAATACCACACTCGGGCTCATTACATACGAATTATACGAAACTCGTGACCTTCCTATGATCCCATAGGAAGGACACTCGTTTCATATAATTCGTATGTAATGAGATCTCGTGTAGTATTCTCTATTTTTCTTCTACCCTCTTGCAACCAGTGCATTAGAAAACAATTGTTTGAAATGTTGTTTCAGGGGATTCCTAACTTGCATCTGTTCATGTGCAGCCTAAAGAGTTAAATGTCTCATGTCTCATGAAATGAGACACACAGTGACACGTCCAAGTTACAATGTCAAGGTGTATCCTTTGTGCATGATCCACTGCAGTAGAGTTAATGTATGTGTGAGGCGTACCTTCTGTCAGCATACAGTAAACTATGCTTATAACAAGCTCAAGGGCACCACTAATATTAGGTGAGGTGAAATTGGGTTTAACGTCGTGCTTGAGAATATTTCGCTCATATGACGACGTGCATGCATGTGTATGTGTGGCTGCTTGTACTAGCCCAGACTTAAGCTGGTTTTATAGTGCTAGCCCACTGAGATACCATGCCGCAGTGAAGCTGACACATTATATCGACTCTGAGCCGACCAGTCCTTGTTGTACCCATTAATGCCGCCACTAACAATAATTCCATATAACAGTAGTTCCCACAGGTGCCAAACATCTTTAACACCTGTTAGCATTAAACTTTGAAATAAACCTTCGACCTAGCCACAATCTAAGTGTATTTGTCTACTCCTTCTCGTACAGTACACACTGGCTATCCTTCTCCTCCTGTTTATTTGTATTTGTGTTTAAGGTGATCGTGTTTCCTTTGCTTTATTTGTTTTAACCATGCTGTATGTTTCACTGTTGTAAAAAGAATTCCTTTGTCAAGCAATTAAGTATTATTATTATTAATTGTTATAAACATTTTGGAATATAAAGCATGTATCCAGGACAAAAATACCCCAGTTCATTATAATTATCAGTCAGTTTGTTGTAAGTATCTTCACCATAAACAAAGTTTACTGTAGAAATATTTGCAAAAGAACAGCTTTGCAAACTGACATGGCAACAGTGGGTAACTCACAGTTTTACTATCAGGTTTTACATAATTGTCATGAATATTTCTATGCAATTCTATGTAAACAACTATAAATGTTGGGATTTATTGCACATATTTATGAAAATGTGCAGCTTGTCTGGAGGTCTGAAAGCAGACATTTCACTTAACAATTATTTTCGGGGGCGGTGGGGTAGCCTCGTGGTTAAAGCGTTGGCTCGTCACGCCGAAGACCCGGGTTCGAATCCCCACATGGGTACTATGTGTGAAGCCCATTTCTGGTGTCCCCTGCCGTGATGTTGCTGGAATATTGCTAAAAGCGGCGTAAAACCAAACTGAGTCAGTAACAATTATTTTCCAAAAGTATCTTCATTTATCAGACTACCCATGATCTGGATTAGACTGATCTTCAGCAACCAATACTTGTGAGAAATAAGTCACAGGATGGGATGGTCAGGCTCGCTGACTTAGTTGATGCACGTCATCATTTCCCAACTGCGTAAAATGATGCTTGTGATGTCAATTCCTGGATTTTCTGGTCCAGGCTTGATTATTTACAGACCGCTATCATATAGCTGTAATATTGCTGAAAATAATAACGTCCTAGGTCCAACACTCATTCACTGATAGCCCATGGATGGAAATAACCAATTGCCCGACGTCCGAGTCCAGTGTTTTTTTTCTGTCGGGCAAGCAAATTTGTATATCACACTGTACCGGTGTCCAGTTGACTTTCTAATGTTAATTATGTTGTTTATTTTAAAAAATCAACAAGAAAACGGCCGATGGAAAAATTATCAGGGCAATTGATTTTACATGTGCCACTGTACCAGAGTACACTAGCAATTTTAAAGTTATTTCCACCCCTGTAGCCATTTACATGAAATGAAATACTACTTTATTGTGGATAAAGAAGTACTTCTTTATATTTAGATGGCTATCAGTGAACGAGTGTTAGACCTAGCACGTATTATTTTCAGCAATACAAGCCCCTGTGTGTGAAACAACAAACAAACAAACGAACGTTTACGACACTAAATTTGTCTAGGTATGTACCTCGAGTCATCACTGCCTCCAAGAGTAAACAACGGGCCTCCCTCAGAACCTGGGATACAGCGAGCATCAGACAAAATTAAACAATGATTTCTCCCTGAAAGATTGCTGATGATCCCCTTGCTCACAGAATTCAACATTATATCTGGGAACAGGTTAGCGAAAGGTGTTGCGAGGAGCTCCACAGGTTCCCCAATCCGACAGCACTTGGTTGAACGTACTCTCATGACTGAATTATAACTATTCCATCGGTTCAGCTGGACCAGAACAAAATAGGGCAATAATTTGTACATCTGCTCATCCTCTCCATCAACAGATTCATCAACAGGTACATTTGGACTTGACTTAGGCCCAGATTCTTTGGAATTGTCTGCAAATTTCCAGTTCCCTTCCGGCATTAATTGTTTCATGGCATGTTCAAACCTCAAACATTTGAACAAGGACCTTAATTTTCCGGTGAGGATTTTTTTGTTTGGGGTATTTTTCTTGAATGTTGGTATTTACCAAGGCTGTTTTATAGTTCTTCAAAGAATATTCCGTAGTTTTGGAGTCATTTTGGGTTAAGCTTTTCCAAAATAACCTCAATGCCGACATGTAAGATGGCAGAAAGATCAATCTGCTGTTTGGAACATGATTCCAGTTTCCTGAGAATATCCGGTTTATTGAGAAGAAACGGTGCTAGAACAGACGAGTGGGCGATGACGTAACCATGGCGAGTGTCAACAACAATGCCACACCCCGTGCCTTCAGTTTGACAGGTGGTAGATTTCACGGTCAACACACATGCTCGGACAGTATCCTCCATAGCGATGGCCTACACCTGCAATACATAAACAGTCAATGATACATCCTTCATGCTATTTGTCTGCCTCAATAATCTAGGGTAAATATTTATTGTTAAAAATACCCTGAATCAAACTCTGCCTAACTTGGTTTTTAGTCAATTTCAATAAAATGCTCATAAATACAACCACTCAATCAAATTACTCTCACAGGTGAGGTTGTAGCAAGGTTTGACTACTCAAACATTACAATCCCTTGTTTCATTTCTATAATGCCAAGTGCTAGATCAGCAACAAGTGAGGTGAGGTGAGGTGAGGTGAATTTGGGTTTAACGTCGTACTTGAGAATATTTCGCTCATATGACGATGTGCATGCGTGTGTATGTGTATGTGCGGCTGCTTGTACTAGCCCAGACTTAAGCTGGTTTTATAGTGCTAGCCCACTGAGATACCATGCCACAGTGAAGCATGAATACCCCACTCAGACACATTATACTGACTCCGAGCCGACCAGTCCTTGATGTACCCATTAATGCCGAGAGCCAGGCAGGGACCAACAAGTACCATATTTTAACGTTTTTTGGTATGACGCGGTCAGGGATTGAACCCGCGACCTTCCGTTCTCCGGGCGGACACTCTAACCACTACACCACGGAGGCGGTCTCAGCAACAAGTAAGGTTGTAATGATGCATTGCAAGTGTTGAGACTCCAATAGCAATTAATCGATGGTAGAAACGGAAATATATGTGTGACTATCGATAGTTTAGTAACTGACTTCCATTGATAAAAGCACAGTGCAAAATACAGGAAGTACCAGATTCGTTCACTTTGATTTAGAGTTATCTGCCCTTGTCACCTCTTAAACTTATCTGGGGTTTCAAGTTTGTCAGTTATTAAAAGAGACTGAAACTACTTCAGCTTGTTTTCATTTCATATAAACTAAACATTCATTTGGGAAATGACTTCAAATGAGACAATTCAAGGAGAAACAAGAAGATAAAGTCATCAATATCCCCCGCAATGGCAAAATACTCTTCATGAATATGTCTACTAGTTATGATTATGTCAAATGTTTTGGTGTGTATATAAAAAGTGGAAGGAGAGTATTGAAAGGTTTTAAAAGTTCTGCTCTATAGCGAAGCACTACCACCAGTTTCAGTCTAAGTCAAACTTGTTGGCATGGAAATGCACAGATATTTTATTCAGAAATCCAAAACTACCAAAAGGCACCAGTACACCACCAGACCAATCTATGTGCCAAGTTTGGTGAAGAAATATTGAACGGTTTTAAAGCTCTGCTCCGGAAAAGACAAATGTGCACGGACGCATGGATTCCATTTTAATACCCCCCGCAAAACATGTTGCCGGGGATAAAAATAAAATTCATATCTGGGTCTAACCCCAACAAGGCACATCTAGGGATCATGCATGATATGTGTACCAAGCTTGATGAAGCTAGCATGTATAGTTTGGAAGATATGCTCCGGACAAGATGACATCCACATAGCCACAGCCTAAGTCAGATTTCCATGGAAACCGCAAAAAATAGGTAGGTGGGTAGGTGGGTAGGTGGGTAGGTGGGTAGGTAGGTAAGGTTTTAGAGCGATCTTGGGCCTCAATGGAAAATATGCGCCCAGCAACAGACTATCGCTTTCGCAATAGTTGTTTCCCCCTAAATAGTCACCCCAGCAAATGTCTCTTACAAATGATGTGCTGAGATAAAGATAGCACTGAGGTGAACTATGGTGCAGATGGGTCCTCGGGATTTCTGACCAAAGTCATAGGAATAGGATGTTGCTTAGTGTTACAAGCACTCCTTTCAAGTCATGTTCCTGAGTATGGTTTAAAGCTGCTTTTAACAATATGTGTCAGGTTAATTTCTAATCAGCCAATCAGCATCAAGGCTATTATATTCTCCTTATTACCGAGTGAAACACTCATTCATATCTAATTTCTGCATCTAGAAATAGATAGTCATGTCTGAAAGTATATGCTGGACTAATATATTGTGGATATTTTACACAGCCCCTTCCTTTCTAAGCACCACTGAGTGTATATTTGTGTTTGATGGCTGGTTTCTTTGGCTGAGATAGAGATTTAAAATTATAGTCAGGGCTCCAGATAATTTTTCAACATCAGGAGTAGGTTCTCCGTATTTTTTCAATATATGAGTACTGGAAAACAATAAGAGTACATTTAGAGTACTGAATGGAATTTAATGGTTTATCATTAAACTTGTGCTTCGTTTCATATATGCATGACAGCATTGCTACTCTGGTGTAAACGGTCAATAAACAAATAAACAATACTTTTTCAGATAAATATGTCTGTAAATGATTCTAAGACTGTACACAATTGCTGTGGTGCGTATCTGCTACGTTTTCTAAATTATTTCCTACCGTATTGTGTATATTTTTTATCCGTACATACGCCGATACGGCCCTTGTCTGTAGCCCTGATAGTGGTAAAAAAGCCAAATCATTTTTTAAGGCTGACATCTGATTGGCTCAAGAACACATGAATCCTTTCAGATTGGACTAAGTCTGTTCTTGTGACGGTGACCTTAGATTTTCATGCAGTTACGTGAGAGGTATCATATCAAAGCTAAAGACCGATTGTGATCAACAAACGCTCAGCTTGCAAACTTAATGAGTGTTTACGCTGCAGTCACAAACATGCCAGCTACATCACAATGACTTATAAAGTGACAAGTCAGGGAAACACAAACAGGTCAATGACTCGAAATGCTAACTGTGCTAGTCTTCTCTCACCACAATTGTCAGATCGGGTGGTCAGGCTCATTGACATAGTTGACACTTCATAGTATCCCCATTGATCAAGTGAGTGAGTTTCGTTTAATAGCAATATTACAGCTATATGGCAGCGGTTTGTAAATAATCGAGTCTGGACCAGACAATCCTGTGATCAACAACATGAGCATCGATCTGTGCAATTCAACAAAGTAGTGGGGACCTACACAGGGATGGACTTCCCACTGGAACTGTGGGAGTGAGTGAATATTTGTCTGGCCCTAGATGTGAACCAGAAAACAAACAACTCATTCAACATGTACACAACCCAAGCTCCATCTTCATGTACACAACACAAGCTCCATCTTCATGTACACAACCCAAGCTCCATCTTCATGTGTGACTTGGTTTTGACGAACTAGAATGGTTTCACTGGTTTTAACACCCAAATCTTCCTAGACAAATGGTGGCGCTTAAACCCGGGTAGACTGTATTACCATTCTATTAAAGACATCTATCTACAAATATTGGGATACAATACCAAATCATTGAGCCTGACCACCTGAACCTGTGTTTATCTTCACTCATGAAAAGCATGGGTTACTGAAAATCAATTCTAACTCAATTCTTCGTAGGTAGACAACATATGCATATTCTGGGAAATATGGACATCATTATGCATATCTTTTTTAATGAATGGCCTTGGACTTCAATGCCACCCAATTATACGTAAGAGTGAGTGAGTGAGTGAGTTCAGTTTTACGCCGGTTTTAGTAATATTCCAGCAATATCACGGCGGGGGACACCAGAAATGGGCTTCACACATTGTACCCATGTGGGGAATTGAACCCAGGTCTTCGGCGTGACGAGCGAACGCCGTAACCACTAGGCTACCCCACCACCCCATTATACGTAAGAAATATTAAACACAAAACAAGTGTCAAATGATATGTTTGACATGAAGAATAAGGACATTCCAGGATCTTGAGAGGCATTATTGTCAATATTGTCACAGCGCCACTGAGCATCTCTATGGTGGATATTAGGCGCGCTTAATAAATACATTATTATTATTATTTAGAAGTTTGTGTTCAAGTAAAATGCAAATATTATGGATGAAACAAACAAGATACATCAATGGGTATATATACTAAATATACAAGAAGCCAGTGTTGCATGTATACACAATAAATTGGATAAGAAAAAGGAGATGAAAGAGTGAGCTGTGGTTGAGCCAGACAATTACAACCTCAGCTGAACAAGGATCAAGGAGTGTATCTCCCAAGTGCCTGGGAAGTCAATTAGCTCATTACTGGCTTCTACCCACATCTGTTAATCACTTGTATAAACTCTTCTCTTGTATAAACTATGCCCTTTATCTGTACATCTCACTCTTTCATCTCCTGTTTCTTATCCAATTGATTGTATATACATGCAACACTGGCTTCTTGTACATTTAGTATATATACTCATTGATGTACCTTGTTTGTTTCAATTCACCTGACGAGGGGGCAAGGAATAGCCCAGAAATGTTGTGACATACAATAAAGAAGAAGTTGTCATCCATAATATTTGCATTTTACAAGGACATTCCAGTCAGTCAGCTTAATTCATTTACATCAAAGATTTATCTGGAACACAAAACCAAGTGCTCTTAGAAGGATAACAGAGAAAAAGGAATGGGATTTTTTTTGAAAGTTGTTATTTTTCTAATACAATGTATAACCCATTATTTTCAAAATGTACTTTAACCTTGTGTTCAATGCAGTGATGTTACAACCGGGCTTAGCCTCTTCTTCACTATTGGTCTTTGTATCAATGAAATGTAAGCTTCTGTGGAGCCATAACATCAGTTATGATAACAGCTGCATGACTTGAGAAATAATACATTATTATTTGAGGATTTTACCAACATTTTATTTGGGGCAGAATATCATCGTCTGAACGGGACATGCTTAATCTGTGTAGATGTCTTTCATGGTACCCATTTCAAAACTTTTAAACTGAAAATAATACTTTAATATACACATGAATCCAGCACCATGAGAACATCCACAAAATATTTCAAAATAATATGTCCTATTGAATATATTTCTTGACTTACATCTATTAAAGCATACAACTATAAAACACTTCTAGCAATGATAAATGTCTTAAACATTAAGTGTAGTGTAGTTGTGGAAGATAAAGTAAACTATTCAATCTTCACAGCATGAAATCTGCTGTTTCACCGACTTTCAATGCAATATTTAGATTATTTTGACAGTACCAGGCATTGACACAGCATCATATACACCATCACACTAAAGATAAACAGGCCAGGTTTGACAACATTCTGAAATCCAAATAACCGAATATGCACCTACTCATACCTCCTGACAAGTGAAATAAAACTGTCTCGCGACATTAAACGAAACATTATACTCCTATGCTCATTCCTGAAATGCCATCATAAATAATAAATTTAGAACTTCACATTTTGAAAGAACAGTTACAGATAGTGATATAGATATCTGGTCATAAGAAGATAACAGCTATACTTTTCAGAGATTGTGTTTACCCGACATCTGAAACTTCAATATAATACTTATTTTGTGTTGAAAATAAGCACCTTTCAATTTCCGGATATGAAAGACATTCAGTGTGTCATGCTAGCATAAATTATTTACAAAATACTGTGATTCAGTTAACATTTAAAATTAATGAGCACAATATTTTAGAGATACAGTTTGAAATGAACAGTATATGCGGAAAATCAAATACGTAGCATAAAGTCGATGTTGTGAAGCATGGTCTACTCTTGGAAATCAATGTCATTTCAACGTCAACAACAACGCTACCTTAAAAATAGACATCAACATATGTTTTCGATTAACAACGTTCCAATAATGCTGTATCTACTGTACAACTTTTCGCTTTGTCACCAGATCACGTTTATGCTTGTGTTTGGTAAAGGGGGCGTATCCATTCATGATTCAGTCGTACATTTGTCGCCTTCTGAATGCTTCGCACACAAAAACACTATCTGTCTCAAAACAAACTTCCAACATTGTCTTATTATGATATTACATGACTTATGTAAGCATGTTCGCGATTATTTATTTCGAGAAATGACACTATTCTGAGTACAAACTGACATTCCGTCCAATATGGCAAAATAACAACATAGTGCACGTGTCACAATGTTTACTTCCGTGTGTAAAACGTAAGCAAACCGTGTGTATCGACGGGCACCTGTCAGCATTTCAACAAAATATAATATTTCCTACATGAAACTGCAAGCATTAAACGTTCCCTTCAGAATAACTAACATTCCTTCTGTGGACACCTAAAAGGCTTTCAACAGCTGTCTAGATGAGGTGTGTCCTACGTTACTTGTCCACCCTCGACTGCTATAAATGGCTATTTGCATTGTCATTTGCTCCCGGTACGAGGTCACGCGGTGTGACGTCAGAGGATTTTGCGTACACAAAGGCTGAGAGTTTACTTCCAATTAACACAAAAACAAAGAAGACTTGCGTCGAGTCCTTAAGCGGACATATAGTACACATACTTATGTACCATCCCATCAACTTTTCACACCTATTAGCCCGCTACAGCCTTTGTAAATCGTTTCCAAACTTTCGAATGTCAATAGGTCAAAGGTTAATTCTGCCCCTGGCATGCAAATTGTAAACCCCGTTAATCATTGGCACGTTACATGACGGTGAGTGTTTTCTGAATATTATTTCGCTGATAAAATTTGCGGGGAAAGGCAGGGGTTCATAGGCTAAAATACTTCAAAAGGCTGATTTAGGCCCTGTAGATCTCCAAATACTAGTTCAGATCTCCAAGCAAGAGTAGTATCGGCGGAAAGCTTATCGTTTATTCTATCCGATGCACCAATGCATTCTCTCGTACGAGGTCAGTGGTGAATAAGATCGCGAGCCAAAACTTCAGACATTGTGGCTAACCAGAGGTTTGACACATCCACCATGGAGAAAATTCCTTTTGACCCTGACTTGATCGCGAGTTTTAGCCCCTGTCTGACAGCACTGACAATGTCAGATATATTTTGAGAGTCGTTTTCTGCTTCACGTTCACCATGAAAAACACAAATTGTCAAGTTTATTCTGACTTGATCATGAAATATCGAAATGTCTGACGGCTGGTTCGTCAGCGCTCCGGGCCTGTAATGAGCAGCTTGTCAGGGGACACGTTTCATCCTCAGTGGATTTGGGTTAGCAGACCATTTGTTGTGCACGATAGATAGTTTGTTACACGTTGTACCTACCTGGTGAGGGGCCTGCCACATGTACTTTTTCCGATTTCAAATTTACCTGCGCAATTCATACCACGAAAGCGGTGGTGGGCAGCCATGTTAAAAGTGGGCATTATCTGTATGAAAGCGTTCGATCTTTTAGTAATACAATGAACGGTTGATAGATTTGTTCAACACAAGCATGAAATGAAATATAAAGGAGTGTCAATAAGCAAATTACGAGACCTATGAGCCCTTACTTTCCACAGTATTTCGTGTTCAGTGAGAGTGATCTTAAAAATAAAATGTCTAACATGAGCCAAAACAAGATGTCCTGATACACGTTGACTATTAACAATCGCAACACATGCTTGAGGTGACCTACATCTACATTAATTTAACATGAGGCTACACACTAATATGATACCATTAAGATTGTGGTAGTATATTTAGGCTTTGGTAAATAGACAAGAGGTCAACTATGGCTGTAATTCGTGTGAGGAGCAATGGAAATGGGCCTGTTGGGGCTTCATAGATCCAGAATATTGCAGATCTAATCCAAGTTGTTGAGGAATAGAGTAGACTTGTGGGGATGAATCTTGCCATTATCTGTTACAGTTGTATTCTAGCTTGTTCTGAGGCACCAGAATGAGGATAGCTCAAGAACTGAGACTCTCTTGACATATTGGAAAAAGATATCAAATTTTTTAGATATGTTTGTGATAAGTAACACTAGCCCCAGGGAAATTATATATGTGAACAAAAAGGATTTTTTTCCTGTAAGCTAAACTTGTTTTGGCTGTATTATTTACATACAAACTTGATTTGTGGAAACAATTTTCAGAGGATTACAATATTGTCACAAAATTCATTTTACCTTTACATTTTTGATAATGTTAAGAGTTCCTTTTGAGAAGTAACATTGAAACTGGTATATCTAGTAGGTGTTAAATAAGGACTGCCTATAAATACTTATGTTGGAACACCTGTTTCGGAGTCTTTATGGTCGAACTATTATATGTGCTGATTGTACGGGAATGTCTGTCAGCAACCTCTGATGCTTGTTTATCTCAACCTGAATTGTTTGTTTAAACTATGAAGTAATCAAGTACTATTTAGTTACTGAACTACCAAATACTACAATGCTTGTTTTCCGTTTTAAGACTGTGAATGTCTTTTTTACTGTGAGCTTGTTTTCCCTGTTGTGTAACACTGGATGTTATATATTTCATGTGAGTGTACCAAAGGGCACTCTATGATATGTTTAGGTGTGGACTTTTGAATTTAAATGTGCCAATAAGAATACTTTTAGTTTTAAATCATTGTAAAACTCATTCACTATGATCTGATTTGTCTCCTCTTTAATTAATGCCCTTTTAGTCATGTTATGATTTATAATATAATAGTGTGTCCAGTTTGATTTTTCACACAGATATTATCACTAGCTTCATGAGTTTGAGGCACATACCCTACTGAGTGTCATAAACCAATGATTGTTTCTTCAAATACAGATTCTCTTTCTAGGGTTGTCAGCACCTTATATCAGGGGTGGAAATAACCCATTGTCCGACGTCCAAGTCCAGTGTTTTTTTCTGTAGGGCAAGCAAATTTGTATATCACACTGTACCAGTGTCCAGTTGACTTTCCAATGTTAATTATGTTGTTTATTTAAAAAATCAACAAGAAAACGGACGGTATAGTGGAAAAATAATCAGGGCAAGTGATTTTACATGTGCCACTGTACCGGAGTACACTAGCAATGTTAGAGTTATTTCCACCCCTGTTACATGTGCTAATGGGTTTCGCCAAAGTGGTAAAGGTCTTGAGACTTTGGGGGCCCTCTTTTCCCTTCATGCTGACACTATTGTTGCTAAAACACTGTTAAAAGGGTAATTAAATCTAACTCACTGGCTTCATATGATAAGCAGGGCGGTGGGGTAGCCTAGTGGTTAAAGCGTTTGCCCGTCACATCGAAGGCCTTGGTTTGATTCCCCACATGGGCACAATGTGTGAAGCCCATTTCTGGTTTCCCCTGCTGTGAAATTGCTGGAACATTGTCAAAAGCGGCATAAATTCCAACTCACTCTCTCACTCATATCATAAGTGTGAGAGTGAGTTGGGTTTTACGCCGCTATTGGATCAAATGTCCATCAGGACATTGTGTTAATGTCTTTTTCTGTACCATTGACACTGATTTAATCTAAGGGATATTAAATCCTGTATAAGAAACAGGTATAACAGATTTTGAATGTTCGATAATCATGTTCAAAGCTCCTGCAGTAGTGGCAAGAATGACAAGATAGCCTGTATATCACCAAGGAAAGAAATAGCCTGGGGCTGTGGTAAACGTTTGTGTATGTACTAATATTGGATGCTGCTGCTGTGCTTATGTCAACCTGACAGGTTTCTTTTGATACTGTTATGTCTTTGTACCACAATAATATGAGTAGTGTCACCTTAATATCAAATTGGGGACGGTGGGGTAGCCTAGTGGTTAAAGTGTTGGCTCGTCACGCCGAAGACCCGGGTTCGAATCCCCACATGGGTACAATGTGTGAAGCCCATTTCTGGTGTCCTCCACCGTGATGTTGCTGGAATATTGCTAAAAGCTGAATCCCCACCGGCGTAAAACCAAAGTCAGTCAGTCAGTAATATCAAATTGTTTATTGCTCACATCATCTATCACTGGATTATCTGGTCTAGACTTGTTTTTTTACAGATTGCCATCATATAGCAAGAATAATGTAGCATTGAACAATATATCAAAAGTGCAGCAAAATATTTTTCTAATTTCTATTTTCTGGACCATCTGCTAAAATATGTGAACATATTAGCGTAGAGACACAATTTATTGCACCAGGTCCTGTGACAATCACAGTGTAGAGCAGTGTTTGTGCACCAGGCCCTGTGACAGTCACACAATATAGAGCAGTGTTTGTGCTCCAGGCCCTGTGACAGTCACACAACATAGAGCAGTGTTTGTGCACCAGGCCCTGTGACAGTCACACAGTGTAGAGCAGTGTTTGTGCACCAGGCCCTGTCACAGTCACACAACATAGAGCAGTGTTTGTGCACCAGGCCCTGTGACAGTCACACAACATAGAGCAGTGTTTGTGCACCAGGCCCTGTGACAATCACACAGTGTAGAGTAGTGTTTGTGCACCAGGCCCTGTGACAATCACACAGTGTAGAGCAGTGTTTGTGCACCAGGCCCTGTGACAATCACACAGTGTAGAGCAGTGTTTGTGCACAAGGTCCTGTGACAATCACAGTGTAGAGCAGTGTTTGTGCACCAGGCCCTGTGACAATCACAGTGTAGAGCAGTGTTTGTGCACCAGGTCCTGTGACAATCACACAGTGTAGAGCAGTGTTTGTGCACCAGGCCCTGTGACAATCACACAGTGTAGAGCAGTGTTTGTGCACCAGGCCCTGTGACAATCACAGTGTAGAGCAGTGTTTGTGCACCAGGCCCTGTGACAATCACACAGTGTAGAGCAGTGTTTGTGCACCAGGCCCTGTGACGGTCACAGTGTAGAGCAGTGTTTGTGCACCAGGCCCTGTGACAGTCACACAACATAGAGCAGTGTTTGTGCACCAGGCCCTGTGATGGTCACAGTGTAGAGCAGTGTTTGTGCACCAGGCCCTGTGACAATCACACAGTGTAGAGCAGTATTTGTGCACCAGGCCCTGTGACAGTCACAGTGTAGAGCAGTGTTTGTGCACCAGGCCCTGTGACAGTCACAGTGTAGAGCAGTGTTTGTGCACCAGGCCCTGTGACAGTCACACAACATAGAGCAGTGTTTGTGCACCAGGCCTGTGACAGTCACAGTGTAGAGCACTGTTTGTGCCAGAAACCAATGCCTTGTCACACAGTGCATTTAGCTAGCATGTATTTTTGCATGATTTGCGTAATGTCCATTCTCTGAACAGGAGTTGACTAGTCTGGACAATGCTAATGCTAGTGCTATCTTTGTCATGCTTATGCTAGAGAAACTCCTCTGATGTGTAACAAAGCATATCCAATGCTGGTAACTTGTCATTCTGGAAAGCGCAGTCATTGTTGATGCATTTTTTTTATTAGCAACAAGCCAACAACTTCAGGTTACCTGCCTTCCTTAAAGTAATATCAGTTAACATTTAATTGCTGAACCTAGAGTTACTTGTTCAAGGATACATTCCATGTCCATGTGTGCGTTTCATGACCGTATTCATGAATATTGCAGCATGCCAATATTGTTCAGGTTCGGTATAGCTCAAGTTATTTCATGATTTATGCAACAGTGCTTTGTCTGGTCTGAGTGATATGGCACTTGTAGTGAATTGAAAATTATTTCAAGATATGTTTTACCTTCAAGGTTGCTAGTTCAGATCGCCAATGACATGCAATGTGTTGCCATGGAAATTCAATATTGCTCCAGCTATAGCCTGTGGCCAAGATTAATTTTTAGAGATTAACATACTGTTTT